CCTACCTATGGTGGGAGATACTGAGGGAAATTGGGGCCAAGGGTAATAATATTCTGCTTTCAGTTATGATCTCTTCTTAAGCTGCTCTTATTTCATTGTCTTTCTAATGTGCAGCACAGATTTATTGTTATAAAGATATATATAATATACAATAAATCTGTGTATGTATATTTATCTGTAAATATTTATATATAAAGGAGGCATTTAGTTGCAATCGAAAATTGAAGTTGATAGTACAGTCCATTTCAGCACTGTTGTTCAGCGATAACTATTCAGGTATTTAATGAGTTTTAGGGAGCGTTGAAGTAATAATAGTAATAATAATAGTAGGAACAATCTTAACTTCTCCGAGTTGTTGGTTGTGTGAGCTCTCAGCACCTTGGACAGAGACTGGCAAACCTGGGATTAAAGCGCCCCCTACTGTTAGCTTCCAGAGCTGCTGATTTAGACAGCAAGATTCCAGTCCAGTATTATTATTATAATGATCACAATCCTGATATAGCGCCTTATCACTTTGTCGCAAAGCCCTTCACAGAATATACTGTGAAGTTGGAGTGACTGCGTGTTTTGTGGTCAAAAGTGTAAACTGGAATGTAGAGATTTTACAGTTTGACAGAAAAATCATCGCAAGTGTATGGATGTTGACTTGAATTTTGACAGCGCTTGTATTTTCAGTACAAAGCCTTGCTGGGAGAATAAGTGTGTGTTTCAGGGTCTGGCTCGTGGCCTAAATAGCTTTTTCCTGTCCTAAAATTCCAGTGTCATAAAGCGGTGAATACACCGAGATATCAGTAAGGGAATCTAACACAGCAGGGGGCGGTTCGAGGAATTTCATGGCAGTTTCTGATCAATTTTACCAAGTTAAACAAACATCTCAGATTTTGAAACAAGTTACAAATGGTCACAAGTACTTTCTCTCTCTCTGTGCCTATCCCTCAAGAAGTCTTGAGTTCCTCTTCGGAATTCTGATCAAACGGCAGAGATAGACACCAATAATTGGATTAGCGCTGCTCACAGTTTATTTTCCTGCGAGATATAATTTTGTATATAACAGAATTTTGCTTCACTTGAGCCCAAGGGTATAGTGGATAGGAACGGTTTCATGTTTGCAATGATTCAACTATTTATTTTGAAGCCATTGAGAATTGTCAAAATAATAATAATCCTTGGATTTGATATAGCGCTCTATAACATCATCGAAACATCTCAAAGCGCTTCGCAAAATTTTCTGTAAAGTGTAGTGACTGTTTTTTGTAGGCAAAATCTCATCTTCCGACTTTCACACTGTTTTGACACCCAAGGCAAGACTGAGCAATGCTCTCTCATAGAGAAAGTTAGTTCCACAAAAGTTTTCTCTCAAATCTGCCAAGAATCAAGAAAATATCTGCAACTCACAGTACGCTATGTGTTGCAAGTTTGTAGGCTTTCATCTGGCTTTCCTATGTCTTTGTTAAAGAAGTGCAATAATAATAATAATCTTGGTATTTGATATAGCGCCTTATCACATCGTTGAGGTATCTCAAATGCTTCACAGAATATATTAAAAAGTGGATCGACTGTGTATGTTGTGGGCGAAACCCAGCAGCCAATTTCACACAGCAGCGTAGAAATATAATGCTCTCCAACCCAAAGTGTTTATATCAGGAGTGAATCAAACTCAAAGACATCGCTTCCCTCGGAGACTCAGGCAAACAGAAAGCCTTTTGCTCGACTGAAAGCGCTTCTACTCTAAATGCTGCCAAGTAAGATAATGATAATAATCGTTGCAATAGCGCCTTACCTGATGGGACGAAATATCAAAGCACTTTACAGGGTTTACTGTAAAGTGTAATGGTCAATTTGCACACAGCAAAGTCTCACAAACAGCAATGAAATTGAATGACCCATTTTATCTGGGATTGATCTGATTTGAGAAAAACTATAGCTACAGTATGAAATACTGATGTAATTTATTAATAATCATAATCCTTGCATTTGTTATAGCACCTTATCATGTCATCAATGTCTCAAAGTGTTTCACTGGATGTAATGTAAAGTGGTGTGACTGTGTGTACCCTGTGAGTGAATGCGGTAGCCAATATGCACATCACAATGTTCCACGAACAGCCATGGAGTGAGCGACCAATTTTATTGTTGGCCAGGACACTGGGCAAGAGAGAGAGAAACTCTCTGTTAGAAATTGACAGCTTTTAAAAACACATTCCATTGAAATAACTGCACCTATTGTACAGCGAGGCAAACGGTTCATTTCTGCCACTGATCTGGCACCTGATCTGTAACGTGTTGTAGTGCCTTTTGATTTAGCCTATAACAACTTATTACTTATTTGGTGCAAAGTGAGGGGGTAACACCGTACTACTTCTGTTTACTATTCTTTAAAGCCTTATCTGCACTGTTGACGACAGAGACGGTAATAAACATCTGTGCTGCGAAGTAGGCAGCAGCAATCATTCCTGAGCTGTGCACAGGAAAGCAAAATGAATCGACGGCGTAGGTGAAATCCGACACTAGAAACAGCAGCCCTCCAACAGATGCAAACAGCTTGACCCAAGACCAGTACTCAGTGAAGAACATGCCGGCACTCGCTCGCCAACACATGGTTCCTATTAGAATGCTGTAGACATAAACCAGCCATTGGAAGGGTTTTTCATCCCAGAGGCATCTGCTGAGGAACAGCAAGTACAAAGTGCCTACAGCCACCAAGAAAGAGGCAGCCAACAGGTTCAGAGGCTTCAGACCAAACATCCAGATGTAGAAGAGGTAGGCAAGCCCGAACATAGCCTCTCCTGGGGAGAGAAGAAACAACAGGATTTTATAATAATAATAAGGCTTGCATTTGATACAGCGCTTTATCACATTTCGAGACGTCTCAAAGGGCTTCACAGGATACACTGTAAATAATAATAATAATAATCCTTGCATTTGATGTAGAGCTTTTCACGTCGGGAGGACGTCCCAAAGCGCTTCACAGAACACACTGTAAAGTGAATTGACTGTATATTTGTGGGCGAACGCGGCAGCCAATTGCGCACAGCAATGTCCCTCTCACAAACAGTCGTGGATTGAGCAACCAAATTATTATTATTACTTTTTTTTAAAAAAGTAATCCGTCAATTGAATAACAACGGGCTTTTTACTTAAGAGGTAAACAGATACATGTGTGTGGAGTAAGCAAACCTACCTAACATCACATTATATTCTCTGAAGCACTTGGAGATATCTCGAAGACGTGATAATAATATAAGGCTCTATATCAAATGCAAGGATTATTATTATTATAGTTTTAAAGGCTATTTTGTGACAGACCCTTTTGAGAACGCCGCTTTATCCCACACTTACCATCGATGCAGTACAGCTGCCCAGATGTGGTGCGGAGGACATCACCTACTGCTGAAGACAACAGGCCTGCGAGCAGCTTCAGAGCACTGCCGTGTGCCTGTGCCTTTACTCCGTGGCTCAGGGTGTACACACACAGGAACAACAGGGGCACGCATTTGACAAAGGCCTGGAGCCACAAGGGACAAGAGGGTTGAAGCCCGAAGATGAAGTAAACACAGGTGCTCAGTAGGAAGGGCACGAGCCTGCACAACTCCTTCAACACCTAGTGAGGAAAAGAAAAATGGTGGTTATTTGTGAGGCTCTATGGAAAGTCTCTATGGAAAGACAGACAAGGACATGGTAGAAAGATATTTGGACAGGCAAGGAGAGAGAGAGAGAGAGGGAGAAGTGACTTCTCTGATGACTAGTGATAGTTTGCCAGGACAAAGGGGTGTGTGAAATCCACAAGTGAAATGGATCAGGAGTAGAAGGTGACATGTAGATCAACTCATTCTTAGCAAGTTTTTATTGCACTGTCTTTGGGTGTGAAAGAGTTTTTTTGTGACTTCCAATTTCCTTCCCTCTATTGCGGCACAGTTACTTTGGTGTGATAGTTCAGAGGGCTCCAGCCTGCTCCACATCCCCCGCCCTGCCTGCTGCACCATCAGGATGGAACTCCATCCTGCAGTCCCTCCGCCTCGACCCCTCCATTGCCTCCTTCAAGGCATATCTCAAGGCTCACCTCTTTGACCGCACCTTCGGTTATCCCCCACCCACCCACCCTGCCCTCCTCCCTTCCTGATCCCAACCCCAAGCTCAGGTCCAGATCCCTGACTGTCCAGCGCCTTGGGACGTCCTCCCGATGTGATAGGCACCATGTAAATGTCATTTGTTGTTGTTGTTGTCGTAGTTCGTTGTTAACCAGAAAGAAGAGAGAACGGAAAGCGAGATATCACCAGTTCCGAGTCAGACATTTGCAGGAAACTGACACTGTAGGTGTCCCACCCATTTACCTCTGTAGGGCAGAGCAGGGAGTCAGATTCAAGGAGACACCTGAAGCTGTAACACACTGCACTGCCTCCCAGACCTGCAGTTTCACAGCCTCTGTTAGAGGAGTCCAGGACGTGGTTCGATTAACACGGTTTAACATAGTTTAACATCTTTTAGGTTAAAAGCATTATGAAAGCTTAATCAGCTAATTAAAGGGAGAATATAGAGTAACAGCTATAAGAAGGAAGCAAGCAGAGGAAGCACATGTCAGTGTGTGAATATGCCAAACTTTCAGGACTTCCACATATCAGCAGCAATGTTTTTCTTCAGAAACATGTCCATGTGTGGGACTCTGTTTTCCGCCACAGGCTGTTTCTCTGTCTTGTTAATAATAATAATTAAAGTAATCCTTGCATTTGATACAGCGCCTTATCACGTCTTCGAGACGTCCCAAAATGCTTCACAGAATATACTCTAAAGTGAATTGACTGTGTATTTTGTGGGCAAATAATGTTCGATTTTTAAAGTGCAGAAGTATAAGGGGAAGCATTCAGACCTGTCTCTTTGAGTGTGACAGTCATTCATTCTTGTTCAGAAATATAACTTACTGAGCCAAGTGCCTGAAAAGTCTGAATTCAGCCACTAAATGTGACTAACGTGCATTTCCCTGATGCTGTAAAGACGAGTTTAACAGCGTTCAGGACTTACTTACCCGGAGAACAACTGAACTCATGTCAGGCCCAGCTTGGTTTGTAGCCTGCTTTCCCTTCCTCTTTCTGTCTGTTTAACAGCCGCTGATATTTTTGCACTGAACACTGTTGGCTGGGTTTGAACAGGTTTTTCTGGGTGCTGACTCCTTCACACACTGGAATGCAGCATTTTTAACAAGTCAACACACACCTTAGAACAGGTGTGACAGATCATCAGGCCTCGTGACTCGAAGCTCCCAGACTCCAGAAGTGTCACAAACACATAAGCAGTGGAGTAGGGAATACAGAGCGAACCACTCAAACTAAACTAAACCCATTCAAACTGCATCAGAGTTACACCAAAGGCTCGTCCTTGTTCACAGGCTTCAGGACAAAGTGTTTGGAACAAGATAACACAGAAGCCAGTGAAGCAGATTGTACTGTTTTCAGCAAAACATTCCCTTTTTTGTCAGCTGACACGTTTGCAACAATAACCGTCAAGTTTGCTCACGTGATGATGAGTACTGGACAGAAGAGCTCGAAGCCACAGTGAAAGAGGAAACTGGGAAAGGAATGAAATTATAAACATCCGGACCCGCTCAGAGTAAATTAGTGACAGATGGGGCTGTATTGATAACAAGGAAAAATGTTGTGGATATAGGCATGCAACATACATACATACATACACACATACGACATACAGACACACACACAATAGATTTGATTCAGCCCTGCCCCAAAGTCTTAACAGCTTTATAATGCCGTGCCAGGTATTCACCCTGTTTTATAAAACACACACATCATATGACAAAATGTAGCCAAGTACCTGTCAAATGAGCTGCCTCCAGTTTGACTTCCATCCCAGTGACCGTCTCATCTTGACTTAATAATAATAAAATATAAAATGACATTTACAAGGCTCTCGACAGGAGGACGTCCCAAGCCGCTGGACAGTCAGGGATTTGGACCTGAGCTGGGGGTTGGGATCAGGAGGGGTGGAGGGCAGGGAGTGTAGGGGTAGGAGAGTAGCCGAAGACAAGGGAGTGAGGCAAAGGGACTGTGGGATGGAGTTCCAAAGGGTGGGGGCAGAGAGGCTGAAGTCCAGACCGATGATGGTGGAGGGGCTGGGCGGGGAATGTGGGGCAGGCAGGAGCCCACTGGGTAGTGGGGGTGAAGCGAACAGGTTGGTATGGAGACTTTGGTTTAAGGTCTCATCTGAAGAACGGCACCTCCAACCTTGTCGCACACCCCCAAAACTGGAGTGCAATGGAGCGTCAGCCTGGACACTTGGTGAATTCAAAGTACCAATGTGGTTGAACCCACAACCTTCTGACCCAAGAAGTGAGAGTGCTACCAACTGAATCATGCTGGTACCTTCATCACAAATGGTTACGGACCCTGGACTGTATCAGTCAGGACACGCCTGAGTGAATTGGAACAATGGCAGGGAGAAATGTTGGGCAAGTTTCCTTACTCCACACGCCTCTGTTTACCGCGCAGTAAACCATTGATTGGCAGATCGCTTTTCTGGGGGTTTAATAATCCCTTCAAACTGAATAAAATAATAATTTGGTCACTTACTCCACGGCTGTTTGTGGGGACGCTGCTGTGCGCAATTGGCTGCCGCGTTTTGCCCACAAAATATACAGTCAATTCACTTTACAGTACATTCAGTGAAGCGCTTTGAGACGTCTCGATGACGTGATAAGGCGCTGTATCAAATGCGAGGATTATTATTACTATTAATGTCATAAATACCTGAGAGGCTGTTGAAGACCAGTAGTTGACAGAGATGGCTGAGGAATGTGATAATATGAGTCTCTGGTGTAACTGCTGTCACAGCAGTGGGCTGGGCTGTCGTGGCTTAACAATGCCAGGGAATCCACCTGCAGTCAGCACTGCGACGGATTATACTATATAAAAGAATAGTGACCCCTTGTTGCACTCTCGTGACTTAGCTTTCCATTAATATTAGTGCCTTGTAGCAGACCATCTATCACCTGCTAATATAGTAAACTGATAGCTCCTGATAGTGGAGTCCTGTAGCTCAGTGGTTAGAGCACTCGCTTTGCAAGTGAGAGACCTGAGTTCAATTCCAGGCAGAGGGCGAAACCTCGGGCAAGTTTCCTTACTCCACACAGAGCCTAATAATAATCCCTCCAAAAAAAAACAATAATAAATTGGTCATTTTCAATCTACGACTGTTTGTGGGACATTGCTGTGCGCAATTGGCTGCCGCGTTCGCCCACAAATATACAGTCAATTCACTTTACAGTGTGTTCAGTGAAGCGCTTTGGGACGTCCTCCCGACGTGAAAAGCGCTATATCAAATGCAAGGATTATTATTATTATTATAGCTCCTGGCTCTGAGGGAAAAGGACTCAGTGATGAGTTATCAGGAGTGACCAGTTAGGCACACGTATGGTGCAGTGCGAAACCTTAGGTAAGTTTCCATACTCCACACAAGTAGGAAGTAGGAATACGGTTGTTCGTCGTTTGACGGATCGCTTTCCAGGGGTAATAACCCCTCAAAAACAATTGTCACTCAATCCACGACTGTTTGCTGCTGTGCACAATTGGTGGCCGTGTTTCACCCATAAAATACACAGTCACGACACTTTACAGTATATTCTGTGAAGCGCTTTGAGACGTCTCACCGATGTGATACGACACTGTATCAAATGCAAGGATTATTATTATAAATACATAAACAAATGAGACTGGGATATTGACAGCGATGACTTAAGTGGTAGTGACAAGTTAAGCCAGGGTGGAATTTACTGTATTTATAAAAACAGTATAACTGGGGGGTGGGGGAGGGAATCTAGGAATGACTGCGATGCTGTTTAGATGTTACAAATAAGCACAGACCTTGATCACTTTCTTAACCCTGCAATTTTATTACATCCTTGCAACATTTCATTCTTACTGTATGTAACGTATACCGGCAATGTCATGTCTCTATCTTCACGCACTGGTTCTGTGTGAATGTCAGGGATGCGAGTGTGAGCAAGCTGCCCCATGTTCAACAACAACAACAACAAGATTACATTTGTATAGCACCTTTCACGTCAGGAGGACGTCCCAAGGCGCTGGACAGTGACAGCATTTCAGACCAGAGACGGCTGAGCGGAGGGAATGGACGGGTTGGTAGGGGGTTAGGAGGTCGCAGGGGTAGGATGGGGCGAGGCCATGGAGGGCTTTGTAAGTGAGGACCAGGATCTTGAACTGGATCCTCTGAAGGATAGGGAGCCAATGGAGTCGGGCGAGAGTTGGGGAGATGGGGTCACGGAGTTTGGTGCGGGAGAGGGCACGGGCTGCAGAGTTAGTTCTGGACTATCTGCAGCTGTGGAGGGAGGAGTTGGCGTTTGTATAGTCGAGCCTGGAGGTGATGAAATGAACAAGAGTTTCAACGCCTGAGGGGTGAGGTAGTGGCGGAGTCGGGCGATGTTACGGGGGTGAGGGAAGGCAGAGTGGGTCATGGCTTGGATGTGGGGGAGAAAAGATAATTCAGATCAGCAACAACAGCTTGTGAGTCGAGGGTAGAGATAGTCTCCTTGGACATAGAGATACTTTTAATTTCACTGGTTAGGAGTGGGACCCAGAAGGCTTTACTGATAAGAAAGGTATTTGATCAACTATTCAAATGCCCTCATTGGAATGACTGATGCTGTTTGGATGGAGTTCCAAAGGATGGGGGCAGACAGCTGAAAGCCCGATCACTGTTGGTGGGTAGGGTGGGGGACGTGAAGCAGGCCGGTGCCCACCGAGCGAAGGGAGCAGGCGGGTTTGTAAGGTGAATGAGTGACTGGATAAATGAAGGGATAAATAGATAAGAACATGGAAAAAGATGCGAGTAAATCAATATGTAAACATGGGTAGATGTGCTAGGGGCCATCATACACAGAAATGATGAATGAGGAAAAGATTGAGATCCATTAGTTTCTGTTTATCCTCCCAGGAAGATTACAGCATGAAAATATCCTCCCATGCCCTCAGCTCAGGCCACTCTAATCATGGCGCTTCTTATCGTTCACAACACTTAGAGTGATAAATAACTGCGCTGTGTAGTACGTGCTCATGACAATCAGTGTCCTGTACGGGATATTAGGAAAGCACAACAAATTCAGAGCCAAGGTTAAGTCGGAGATGGCGAAACACACAGCTCCGAGTCCACCGATCACCTTTGCGGGTGGCTTTGGGGTGTGGAACAGGACCTCTGCGTTGGCCCGCCATACCATACTCCCGATGACGGCACAGTAACAGAAGAGCGCTAGTATTTGCCATGTCGCCATGTCCTTCCTCCACATACACGTACCGAGCAAGGTCGCGCCTATTAGTGTTGCACTGGCCACCACACTCCCACCTCGCAGGTTCACAGACTTGAAACCAAACATCCAGATGTAGAAACAGTGGGCGATTGCAAACATGACTCCACCTGAGATTAACAGGACATGAAATTAACCACAGAGTAACTTTAGACACTTTTTACAACAACAATAAGAACAACAACTTGCATTTATATAGCGCCCCTCACGCAGGGTAGTGTACCAGAGAGCTCTTACCCCTCTATCTACAATATCTTTCCAGATTAGTCCAGATCTAACTCTTTGCTCTTAATATATAATAATATAATTCCTTGCATTTTGATATATTATTGTGACGTCCCAAAGTGCTTCACAGAGTATCGTAAATTAGACTGACCGTGTATTTTGTGGGTGAAATGCGGCAGTTGTGCACAGCAGTGTCCCACAAACAGTCATGGATTGAGTGACCGCGATTGTGGGGCACTGAGGTACACAATATTTTTTAAGGGATTGTTGCCTCCGCCAATCGACTAAAAAACAGAAGGCGTGTGGAGTAAGGAAAGCCACTATCTTCTGGAACACCACTCCTCTCCTCTCGGCCTAACCCCCTTGAAGATTTCACGCCCTTCAAATCCTATCTGAATATCCATCAGTCTAAATTCTCTACTTACCAGCAATGAAATAATTAGATGGCACCAGAAGCACATCACCCAGGCCAGAAAAGACGAGGCCGGCCAGTAACTTGAGGAGGCTGTGGTGACTGAGGAGGAACTTTTTCCCTTGGGCCAGAACAAAGAAACCCAAGCAGAGGATGGGCAGAATTTTGGTGACAGCTGTCAGCCACAGTGGTATTTGGTGCAGAGAAGACGTGGCGATGTAGATGGATGCAGTTACATTGAAGACAGCTAACAGTTTGGGCTCACTGATAACCTGTAACCCAGAAAAAGCTTGTTATTCATTCATTCATTCAGTCCTGTAGCTCAGTGGTTAGAGCACTCGCCTTGTAAGCGAGGGGACCCGGTTTCGATTCCCGGGCAGGGAGAAACGATGGGCAAGATTGCTTACTCCACATGCCTCTAGTTACCTAGCGGTAAGTAGAAACCCGCTTGTTATTCGATTGGCGGATCGCTTTCTGGGGACAATAAAAAAAATGTGGTCACTCCAAAAAAAGTTTCAAAAAAGTATTATAATTTGGTCATTCACGACTGTTTGTGGGACACTGCTGTGCGCAATTGGCTGTCACGTTTCGCCCAAAAAATATACAGTCACTATCTTTACACGTTGTATTCTATGAAGTGTCTCGAAGACTTGATAAGGTTCTATATAAGAGATGCTGGGTATCAGTCAGTCTTACCTCACTCTCCTTAAACTATAGTGACTGCTGAAACAGGAGCAATATGTTAAGTGTAGGAATATGCATTGATTATTTATAAAGAGCTAAACTACATTATCAACAAACCCTCACAGGTCGCACACAGGCAGCGAAAACCCATTNAAAAAAATCGGAATTGAGAGACCAAATTATTAGTATTTGAAAAAAACTTTTTTGAAGGAATTATTGCCCTCGGGAAAATGACCCACCAATCAACTAATAGCCGGGTTCCTACTTACAGCTAAACAGAGGCTTGTGTGTGGAGTAAGGAAACTGATAAAATGCAGAACACTCACTCAGGTTCAACATTCCTCAGGTTAAAGCCAGAGAAAATTCCAAGGTTTCTTATGCCGTGGCTAAAGTACATTGCTGTTAGTAAGCAAGTGTAACCTTACCAAAGTGATTGGTGACCTCATGACGAGAGTGAACGATGTCTCTTTCTTGCTGCTCTGAGCTGAGCCGAATGAACAACAGCCTCTCTTGCCTCTGTATTTTTAGGAAGCAACTAACGGAAGCCTTTGACCACTATAACTGTAAGCACATTTGACCCCCCATCCGGTCTGTTAAAACAAACTGGTTTAAAGAACGATAAGCTTCCAACGCTGAAGAAATAGCCCTCCAAAGCGAGGATCAAAGGCAAGGGGTGTGGATGCGAGGTTGTCTCACTTGAATGATCATGTCGTGTTTACAGCACGTCACGTGACCAAAGGCTTTTAGAAGCCTGACAGCATACACAGCGAATTCACCTTAACCCTTTGCACTATTAGCTGCATGTGTTTCCCACGTCTGGGGCTCAGGCACAGTTGGGGTTTTGCAATCCGATAGTGGCGGCTTAGCAAATCAGTGCTGCCTTTTCCTCTCTGCATGTGGAGATGTCGCAATCACTCGTGGATTGCAACACAAGTTGTTTCACAAGTCTTTCGTCTCCGCCTTCCCCTTAAGACTCCCCTACTCCACCACCCGCCAGCCACCTCCACTCAGCAAGCTCTGGCCTTCTGCTCGTCCTTCGTCCCCTCTGCCACACCATCAGCGGCTATGCTTTCAGCCACTACGCCCCAAAGCTTTCCCCCTCAATCCCTCTGTCTTGCCCCCTCCTTCCCTGATCTATCCCCGATCTTGTCTATGTGTTTCGTTGCTACTGCGTGTAGTGCATTAGTGCAAGGAGCTCAAGAAAACTATCCAGACAAGCATTACCACACAAAATCTTGCCCTCACAAGTTCACACATTTTTATTTAGAATACATCCGCAAGATACAAACCTTAGGTAATGGCAACAGAATTGGAGATTGTGACATAATTTACATCTTCAAGGTATTATAAGGTCAAAAGGACCTCTGCTGATTCCTGTGGAAAGCTGACAACAATTCAAACAGTACATCAGACTTAGTTTGGGGAAAATGTACAACTTATGCGAACTGCTGTCATTGTAACCTCTCGAGGGCTGGCGATTGATGTGTGCAGAATGTCAGTACACAGTACACCTCCAAATCCCACCCTCGGCACATTCCAGCTGGGTACAAATATGTGGCTGTGTGTGAACTCCCTACTGTAACCGCAGGCCAGAAAGATGCCGTTTGTCAATCATTTCTGGTTCGTCCCAGCTTAAAGCAACAGCGAGTGTTGATCACAAAAGGAAATAGGAGGGAGGGGAGGGAGGGCAGTGGGGGGAATAATATATCCATACACAAATAATCCAGATGTTAATTCAGAGCACTGTAATCAGATTCCATTTAGCTTATTATTTGTTTGCTTCAGTGATATCTGCCAAAGTCTATGAGGCCCCCAAACACATCTGTATTTCATTCAGATTGTGCTATTGCATGTAATTGCATCTCAGCACTATTCAGCTCTCTGTTGATGAAAGCTCAAATTCGGTTCTGTTCATCGTGAGGCTGGGGGAAGGGCGGTAGAGTCCTGCTGTGTAGTGGTTACAGCACTCGCCTCACAAGTGAGAGGACCTGGGTTCGATTCCCCGGCCAGGGCGAAACCTTAGGCAAGTTTCCTTACTCCACACACACGCCTGCGCTCACCTAGCAGTCAGTAGGAACCCACTTGTTAGTTGATTGGCGGGTCACTAATCCCACAAAAAAAAACTAATCACTCAATCCACGACTATTTGTTTATTAAAATAATTAAATTATTAAAAAAGATGGATTTCTGCTAGAAAATAATATGTGGGGGATACAGTGCATAGTTGGGGACACGACATGTCGAGCGACTGCCAGAATGGTGGAAGACGAACTCGGTGGACCTCGGCCTGCTTTCGTCCAGCACATTCTTATGGTTGAGTCACCAGAGGGGTCAGCGCTTTCAGTGGGAGAGGGGAGAAAATCAGAGAGGTAAAAGCTGCCAGGGGTACATCAGCCTTCCTGGAGTTTACGATCAGAGAACACTTATTCTTAGCATAAATTTATCCCACTTTATACCAATCCTACGTCCCGAGTGCGGTGATATGACATGAGCTGTGACAATGTTGCACTGATTATTATGGTTATTATGGTAGATATCTCACTGAAGGTCCACAGTTGCTTCTTTGCTCCCAAAGAGTCAATTACCTTTACAGTCACTCCTGTGAAGCGCTTTGAGACATCTAGAAGACGTGAAAAGCGCGATATCAAATGCAAGGATTATTATTATTAAAGTAGATTGAGTTTCATTGAATGGCAGTTCGGACTCTCTCTGGGATGTGTTTACAAACGCACGGGGTAACTCAGGAAGGTCATTTCTTTGGAGTTTTTTTGTGCATCAATGAGGATCAGTGAATTCTGTTGATAGTAACGAATGATAGTGGGAATGCTGTCAAAGAGCTGGATGGGAAACAAAAAAAGGAGAGTGTTAGAGGAGAGGAAGGGACAGAACTGACCCACATCAGTGAGGGTTAATCTGATTCTGTGCCAATTGGCTGCCGTGTTTTGCCCACAAAATACACAATCAATTCACTTCGAAGTATACTCTGTGAGGTGCTTTGATACGTCTCGAAGATGTGATAAGGGTTATTATTATTATCCTGCCAATTTCTGAACAAACTCTTGAGATCTCAAAGATGACTGTTTGCCCTCTACTCATGGTGTTTGGTTAGCGCTGTGCACTTCACAGGGTTGTCTGTGCTAATGAGCAATGCACTGAGAAGTGAAGCATCTCTCTCACCAACTGGGAGCAGCAGCATTTGCTACCACATCAGGTGAGGAGAAACCTGCAGGTAGTATTAAAGGGTGATTTGCATCAGGCTGTGTGTGCTACATGGTGCTGGGGTCAGCTATACTCTTTTAAGGTGAGAAATCCTTCATGTTACTTGATGTCCCAACATTAATTTTAATGAGCACTAACAAGGAATTCAGCTTGCGTAAAGGCAACATTAAGGTCATTGTGTTTTATTCACTATATTAAGCAATAACTCGGTCTCACCTTTTCTCCTGCCTTCTCTGTGCCCAGCCCATACTGGTGGCCGCGATCAATAAAACGGATGGGAATGTTGTAGACTTTTCTTCTGTAGAAGATCACCAGGGTGTAGGGGTGCTTCCTGTTATTTCCTGAACTCGGCCTCACCAGGAAGGCCCCGTCCTAAATATCACAGAAGAAACACACAGTCACTACACTCTGCAGTGAAATGCTGTGAAGAGCTTTGAGACTTTTCAGTGTCATGACACGTCGCTATATCAGAATGCAAGGATTATTATTATTGCCTTCAATCATCCTAAACCTTCCATTTGATACGCCACCTTTCATGTCTCAAGTCGCTTCATGGGATCTACTGTAAAGTTAGACAGAGTGATACAGCAAGGAAACGGGCCCAACTAATCGAGCTGGGTGGGAGAGAGTAGGGTGGTCGAAAACACAGTCAAATAGCTAGATCTATACATGAGTTAGAAAGCAGAGAGAGAGAGAGAGAGAGAGGAGGCAGAGGGGTGTCGGAAAGTGGGTCAAAGTGGCTGAAACCTCACCGGCAGATGGTGCAGTGGAGTGGGCGAGGAGGGAGCAGCAGATTAGTTGGCTGAGGGGAGAGAGTGACTGGGGGAATAGGGTGCAGGAGGTCAGAGAGGTACGTACGGTGGAGCAGGGCTGTTGAGGGAAACCCAGAATCCAGAGCATACCTTGCCATTTTCACGTAATGCCACTTCTGCTGCTCTGCGGTCAGACTTGCTGGAGTACCAGGGTTTAGTCAGTAAGTCAGAGACGCTGTCCTGCACAAAGAGGCACAAATACTGAGTTCATCTTTTGTACTAAGGTTTCGCCCTGCCCGGGAATCACACCCGGGGGCTCTCACTTGCGAGTCCAGCGCTAACCTATACGCTACAGGACTCCCTCTAAGCCAAACTGCATGGACTCATGGGTGAAGGGGCAATGGTCTTCCCAACACTCAGATTCCTCTCCTGCCTAGACCCCAGCTCAATAGCACCGTGCTTAAGTCAATCTTTTCCTCTTCTGTGTCACGTCATTGCAGGTCAAGGCAGTCTCTACCTTTCACTCCCAATTGTAATGTCTTAATTACATTTCAATAATTCAGGACACAGTAATCATACTTACTGACTTTCGATTGGGAATAGGAGGTTTTACCCTGAAAAGAAAGAGCGTTTATTATTTAGAGATTCAGTCGTCGTGAAGAAAGACGATGCCTACTGAAAATCGTCTTGGTGTGGTATATACAGGCACCATCTGCACTGGAAGGTTTTACAGACTTCAGCTGGGTACACAGAAGGTCAGAGAGATAATACACACAGCCACCCAAACCTTCTCAGTAAATAATTATAGTAATAATAATAATCCTTGCTTTTGATATTGTGTTAAGATGTCTCAAAGACACCTCTTCCCACAGAGCCCTTCACAGCGGAAGTTGACACTTATTTCACCTGATGTCCACATTAACAGATTTTTCTGTAGGAGTTACGAATAGGAGTTCTGTAGTGCTAATATAATAGCGATAATGATTTACTGCTCTTCGACTGCATCTTTGGTCACCCTCTTACCCCTACCCGCCCTGGCCTCCACCCTTCCTGATCCCAACCCCCAGCTAAGATCCCGCCAGTTGAAGCAACATCTGCTTCTGTAGCTCTGGGAGCCTATGGCTCAGTATTACACTGGAACGTGCCTTGACTGGCAAGGATTGTTGTCATCATAAAGCTTTCACTTACACTGGCATTGGGAAAGTCTTGCCATTTGAAGATATTGACTTGTGGAATGGGTTCATTCCTCCCACTGTGAAGAAATATCATCAAAAAGTGTCAAGAGTAGAACAGCGCCAAACAGAGAGTGGGAGCAGGGATTCTTACCCATTCAGCTCCTGGTAACCCTGCAAGCCAAAGCCTTAATGGCTAGGGTGGTCCCAGCTGGACCAGCAGGAGGAAGCTTGCCAGACAGTGATATCAATGTGGCTTTCGCTAGCTAAATGCACTTGACACAGCTAGTTTCCCAGTGGACAGGCTGAAGGGTAATTGAATGAAATGTACTCACATTCTTCTGGGTTCAGATACTCCTCATTGTCTTCAGGCTTCAGGCTCTGCAGAATACAGAGCTCATTGTAAGACAGGAATGGAAACACCAGGCAGCATGCGATTCATTTATTAATGAATCGTTCCCTTTGGTATGTCATCCCACAGTCTCTTCTCCTCGTTCTCTCCTTTACCTCCTTCAAGGCACGTCTCAAGACCCTCCTCTTCGACTACGCCTTCGGGCACCCTCCTACCCCCACCCACCCTGATCCCAAACCCCAGCTTGGGTCCTGTGCCTTGGGACGTGCTCCCGACGTGGAAGGCATTATACAAATGTAATTTGCTTGGATGGCCTTTTTGCTTGGATTAAACGGCAGCAAACAATGCGAAGCTGAGTGTGTGTACCTGTGCTGGAGGCTGAGGGGGCCTGGCACGAGGTGGGTGAGGGATGGGAAACAAAGCCGTGTTCATCTGAGAACCTGACAGAAAAGAAAGTCACCATAAAACTCCTTACATTTGATTACAGCGCCTGTTATGTCAAAGTGTCTCAAAGTGCTTCACAGTTTTCTGTAAGGTCTAGTACTGTATTTGTACACAAACATAGGAGCCAGTTTGCCCACATGAAGTGAATAATAATAATACTTGCATTTGGTACAGCGCCTTATCACTTTGATGAGAACTCTTGAAGCTCAATTCACTTTACAGGATATATTTTTGTGGGTGAAACGCGGCAGCCAATTGTGCGGATTTAGAATGACCAATTTTATCTGAGGTTATTGTTGGCCAGGACACCGGGAGAGAGAAACTCCTTTAAAATTTTACATGTTTTTTGGGACCTTAGATACTGAAAGTACTGAAATCCCCACATTAGTTCATCACAAACCATAGAGAGGTTAGATTAACATTGGAGATTTCAAGTAAGTGCCATCTATCTGGGAGAATCTTTATTGTATTGAATCAAACAGGGATGGAACGAGTTTATTAACCTCTGACAGTCTTGTCATCTGTAGGATCAATATATACTTCATTAACTTCAGAATTGTCTTGTAACCCAGCATTCGAGACCTGCGAGGAGAGAAAAAGATACTCAATGCATATTGTCATAGAGACATAGGAACAGGAGGAGGCCATTCAGCCCCTCAAGCCTGTTCTGCCATTCTTTAAAATCATGGCTGATCTCTTCCTCAACTCCAATTACCCACCTTTGCCCCGTATCCCTTGACACCCTGACCTAACAAACATCTACCCACCTCAGTCTTGACAATGTGAATGGATCCAGCCATAATCCTCAGTCTTTTGGGTGAGAGAGAGAGAGAGAGAGAGAGTTCCAGATTCCCACTTTCCTTTGGGTGAAAAACTGTCTATGGACATCATCATCATCATCATTATTATTATTATTATCTCACAGCTAGATGCAAACACCTTGCATTTTCCAGCCATTCAAGCGTCAAAGCTTGATCCCCCCCTGCCCTCCCCCCTCCCCCATTCCGACCCCCAGTTCGGGTCCATAACTCTGTCCAGCACCTTGGGACGTCCTCCCGACGTGAAAGACGCTATACACATGTAATTTTGTTGTTGTTGTTGTTGCTGTTGCTGCTGCTATGGGGAATCCATATTGGATTTCACTTCACTTTGAAGCCCCGCTCACTGATACCAGAAATAAGTGATTCCATTAACAGGAACCTAAAGCGATGAGTTTACCATTTTATTCCACAAAGGTTTCCTCATTCTGTCTACAGATGGTTTAGGCAAAGCCTTAGGTAAGCCAATGGATGGCACCGGTCGTTCTGCAGTGAGGAGAATAGCACAGTGGTTAAAAGAAGCTGAGCGCTCAGAAAGATCCTCGACTAACAACCGGGTTCCTACTAACTGCTACGTAAACAGATGAGTGGAGTAAGGAAACTTGCCCAACAATTCGCTCTAACCGGGAATCAAACCCAGGTTTCTGGCCTGCGAGGCGAGTGCTCTAACCACTGAGCTACAGGACTCCATAAGATCTCTCAGCCTTACCTATGTACACGTTCTCACAGACCGATATGGGAGGGACCACATGTCGCATTGCGCGCTGAATCGGGGGGGCCTCGTACGTAGCTCCATCCTCAGGACCACCGGGCTGCAACGAGAGACATGTTTAGCTCATTTCAACCCACACCAACCACACTGTGCTTTCCTGTAATTCTGTCACAGCAACAATCACCAGACAACAGACACAGTCCCCAACGTGCAAGTGGAGTCCCTGTGAATTCTATCAGCAAGTTACATTCACACAACGCCCTTCGATACAGCTCCTTATCACATCTACAAGATGTCTCAAAATGCTCCACAGAAGATACTGTAAAGTGAATTGACTGTATTTTGTGGGTGAAACGCGGCAGCCAATTGCACACAGCAGTGTCCCATAAAAAGTCGTGGACTAAGTGACCAAATTATTATTTTTTCAAAAAAAAACATTTTTGAAATGCAGTAGACCCCCAGAAAGCAATCCGCCAATCAACTAACAAACAGGTTCCAACTTGCTGCTAGATAAGCAGAAGCGTGTGGAGTAACACAACTTGCCTAAGGTATCACTCTGTGTCATATCGACAGGCCCAGGTATTTGCTTACAGCACCTCATTCTGAAGCCCTTTGTTTGTGGCCAGCAAACCTGCCCAGGCCCTCCTTCCTGCTTTGCATTCACTGCACTATCTCCACAACATCTGATGAAATATTCAAAGTTAATCAAAAGCTAAGATTATATGAGGTATAAAACTCCACAGTAGGAGAGCTGTGTGATCTCAACACTGACCTTGTACCTCTGTGACTCGAATTCCTTTCGATCAGCCAGCCATCTGCCCTACACAGAAACCCGTGCTAAACAGCATCCAAACTGAGATTTCCATGTATATCTACCACCTACTTATGGAAATTTCCCTTCATCGGGAATGGATCACACACTCTCTTCCCAAGGGTTGCACTCTTTAATAATATTAATAATCCTTGCATTTGATACAGCGCCTTATCACGTCTTTGAGACCTCTCAAAACGCTTCACAGAATATACCTGTAACGTGAATTGACTGTATATTTTGTAGGCGAAATCGTAAGCCAATTGCGCACAGCAGTGTCCCACAAACAGTTGTGGATTGAGTGACCACATTTTTTTTAAAAGGGATTATTATCCCCGGAAAAGTAGGCAAAAGCAGCAGCTAATTTATGAACAGCAATGTCCCGATAACAATGATATAAAGAGAGATGTTACTTGCACTACTCACATCAGGCAATGTGCTCCCATTCCTATCATCTGAAATCAAAATTAAATATGTCAGTTGAAAAATGAGGAGAGAGAGAGAGAGAGAGATGCTGAATGCTAGGTTCCATCTATCTACCTCAGAGAGTAAAGCAAATAAGTCACCTCAGACCCTCGCAAGGTCAGATTACAGTGAATGCCACAAAATCACAAGATTATGAGACTGGTTTGGATGAAGAACACTCTTTAGCCGATCCCATCTAATCCGCCCATCGCAGCATTGAGCTGCTTTTTAAATGAGTCCCCGTGCCCTGCCCTCAACCACCCTTCCTGGCAAGATCATCTGCACAAGCAGTGTAGCTTTACAACTGTGGGAGGCATTTAGATTGGAGAATATTGAGCTGTACAGGACATCAGGACCTTAGGCTTGTCACGCACAGAACAGTGCTCCTGGGGATCAGTAGCAATGATAAGGCAACAGCCGATTATAACTTGTTATAGAAATTGTTCCTGTTCATTTAATGCCAGCCCTTGGGTAGATCAATGATGCCCTCACCATCTCATGCCGACCATTCACAATTGAGTCACACTATCACTAGGGAACAGCCAGAAGCATATTCATTTCCAAGCACAGTTTAAGCGCCACATTCAGCTCTCAAAAGAGCGAAAAGGGAGAGACTCTGTGTTTGAGACTGACGGCTTACTGTGTGCTCTCGGTCGGTTGAGTGTTGGCGGCGGTGCCAATGGAAACCTGCGGGGGGGGGAAAAGAGAATAATTTCAGTGAACGCAGGGGAGACATCACCCTGGCAACACAGCGCGTGGTAACAAGAGCAAAGCACATAGTGAACAAAATAGACAGAACATCTTTGTGGGCCTGGCTCAGTTGGCAATCACCTGCCTTCAGCGTTCAATCTGTTGTGGACTTGGAACACATTGACGGTCGTGCCTTCAGCGTCTCTGCTCCCACCCTCTGGAACACCATCCCTCAGTCCCTTCACCTCGCCCCCTCACTCGTCTCCTTCAAGGTCCGTCTCAAGACCCTCCTCTTTGACTGCGCCTTCGATCACCCTCCTACCCCCACCCTCCCTGCCCTGCCCTCCACCCCTCCTGATCCCAATCCCCAGCTCGGGTCAAATCCCTGACTGTCCAGCGCCTCTGGACATCCTCCCAACGTGAAAAGCTCTGTGTAAATGTCATGTGTTTGTTACATTCTCAAGGATTGTTAACAGCTAAAGCATACAGGCTTCACTTCTGCAGCTGATGGTAACATAAGCCTGCTGTTGAGACTGCCTGTATGTCAGACCGCCTTCTAGCTGGCTCTCTGTGCCACATAATGCAATTTGTTATTGTTGTTATTCAGCCAGTTCATCAGGTTTGTACTCTTTTCGTAGTCCACAGATTTGGCACAGATACTCACTGATTTGCTAAACCCATCTGTTTGAGGAGATCCTGAAAGAGAAGGCAAAATTATTATATGCAGTATTTCAGAGAAGTGCAGAGGTTTTACAGCACAAAACATGCCAATGTGTGCGTACTGTCCCTGTACCTCCGCCTTGCCCCCCCCCCTCCCCCATCTTCAGATCGCGCCTGAAGACCTTCCCCTTCGACCAGTACCTACGGTCACCTCCCGCGACTCGGAGTCAGGTTCCGTCACTATCAAGGCTCTGGGACTCTGCCCTGCGTGAGGGGCTCTATATAAAAGTTCTTGTTGTACTGGCGATAGCTCCCCGAATGGCATCTTCAACGCCATCAGCAATAGCTGTTTAGTTCTTGCTGTTTAGTTCTTGCCAATAGTTTATTGACTCTGGCGCTATCTCCATCACTCTCCCTGGTTGCTCACTCCAACTAAAGCAGATGCCCAGGATTTCCATCTCACTGGTTCTTCAGCTCTGCTTCAACCTCTCGTATCATCCATCACTGTCCTTATCCCACGTCCAAAACTTATACAACCAAAACCCTTACCTACCCTCTTGTCACTTTGAGATTATAATAATAATAATCCTTGCATTTGATACAACACCTTATCATGTCTTCGAGAGGTTTCAAAGCGCTTCACAGAACAACCGGGTTCCTGCTTATTGCTAGGTTAAGCAGTAAGGGAGTAAGGTTTACTTGACGAAGTTTCTCCCCGACCAAGAATGACGCTCCACATTGCTGTAAAACACGTTGTTGTGGAACTTGCTGCTCTACTCTAAATGAAAGGGCATACCTTGTCGTTACCTCTCCCTCATGACTAACAAAGCCATACTTTACCTACATGTTTCTGGCAGCAGAAATACATACAAATACTCCAGCTTAAAACCATCTTAAAAGACACACAAATACTCACTTTACAATCCCATATACTTCAATTTTGTTCAATAATAATGATGATAATCCTTACATTTGATGCAGCGCCTTTCATGTCCCAATGATGTTCAGAGCGAACTCCAAACATCTTTAATAGTCTTGTCAACAATAACTAGGTGCTCAGGCACAAAGCTCTCAGACTGTTCTGTACCTCATTCCCTTACTAACCAGCTCCCAAGACAAGCCTTACATATTTAGACACCGACTGGCTGAGCAGTTCTGTCAATTTACTGCCTTCTCTCAAAATCTCCGTGTCACAAAAGAACATAAGAACTTGCTAGGCTAAAGAAGACCCGTTCACCTTCCACCATCCTGGCAGTCACTTGACATGTTGTGTCCCAAACTATATAAGAACATAAGAAATAGTAGCAGGCGTCGGCCATTCAGCCCCCTGAGCCTGCCCCGCCAAAGACCTTTCTCTTTGACCGTGCCTTCAGCTCCCCTCTCGACTCTTTACCCCCTCCTCGCTCCCTCCCTTCCCTTGCCTCACCCTGACCATTTCCCCCCTTGCTCAGGTCCTGACCCAACTGTCCAGCGCCTCGGGACGTCCTCCCGACGTGAAAGGCGCTCTATAAATGCAATCTTGTTGTTGTTGTGTAATAAGATCATGGCTGATTTTCTAACCTAATTCCATTTACCCACCCTATCCCCTTATCCCTTAATCCCTTTAGTTTTAAAAAATCTTCTTTAGCCTGTACTGTATCTGTACTGTATTACTGTATCCCCACACATTATTTTCTTGCAGAAGTCTATCTCATTTATTCTTGAAACAAACAACACTTTCTGCTTCCACCGTCTCGCTAGGGAACCTGTTCCATACGTTTACCGCTCGCTGACTGAAGCAGCATCTCTTCAGATTTGTTCTGAATTTACCCCCCCTTCAATCGCAAGCCATGTCCTCTGGTTCCACTGTTCAGTACAAGATAAAACAGCTTGTTATGGTCACTGTTTTCCTAAAAGCAAAACAAAAGTTAAATGACTAACATTACCATTTGGGGAATGAGATGTGAAGTGAGAGTCCCGCCTGGATCCCTGCGTGGCAGAGAAACTTCCTCTGCTCTCGACACCTAGTGAGCACAACACAGTCCCAATCGCTGTTACTCCAACTGAGGCTTTCAATGCAAAAGGTTAGCAATTGAAGCATCATTCCACACCACAACACTCGCTACCTTATGACCTGAACTGTGTGCTTTGCATAGATCATGATTAATGCAAATGTAAGCATTATTCTGCTCACAAAGGGATTTACCAGAAACCGGATCCTATACTGTAACTGGCTTTAACCCTTTCAACACAATATTCGTGGATTTGCTTAACATCAAAGTGCTCAATGTCTAAGGAACAAAACACAACACGTAATCAAAGTCATTCCGAACCCAGCCTGCCTCAGACCCGTTCAGAATAGAATAGAATGAATATCGAACTAATTCATAATGGTAATTTCCTGCATTTGATACAGCACCTTTCACGTCAGGAGGATGTTTTCATAGAGCTTCACAGGATTTGCTGTAAAGAATAGTGACTGTGTGTTTTGTGAAAGCAGAAGCTAATTTGTCCACAGCCATGAAGGGTTATCGATTATCTATGGATTGTTGGCCTGGACATTTGGAGAAACTCTCTTCTTTCTTGAAATAGTGTTATGTGATCTTTAACATCCACCTGAACAGGTGGACAAGACCCCAGTTTAACATCTCCTCCTGAGGACGGCACCTCCAACAAAGAAGCTCTCCCCCAGCGCTGTCAGCCTAGTCTGTGACCTCAACGTCCCAATGTGGGGCTAGAACCCACAACCTTTGACTCCCAGTGGGAACGTGCTACCCACTGAGCGAGGCTAACACCAATTTCAAGCTGCTTAAGCAAATGAATGTAAATGCAGGAGGAAGTCACAAATCCTGGAAAGAATTTCTCATACTCCCCATTTCAAAGACCTTAAGCAACAATCATGTTCTGTTTAGATCCGAGGAGCATCGAAGCAATCTGTTCGGTATCACCAGACGTGGAATGGAAACTACAGCTCTTGCTCACTGTTCTTCTGTATGAACAAACCTTTGATGATAGTGTGATTTACTCCTGGATACCCACTGCTCCTGGTTATTGATCACCACTTAGCTGTTTGAGGAAATAGTGATCATTTACCAGAACCCCCTTCGGCAGATCAAACTATCTTATTATGGAGTCCTGTAGTGTAGTGGTTACAGCGCTCGCCTTGTAAGCAAGAGGACCCAGGTTCAATTCCCGGGCATTTGGTATAGTGCCTTTCAAGTCAGGAGGACATCTTGAAGTGCTTCACAGGGTATACTATCAAAAGTTTTTGTAGGTGAATACTGTACTCACTGACAATGATGAGCATTGACAATTTCGGTGATTACCGTGTGTCGATATCTGTCCCACCTGGTGGCAATGTAAACATGTACTAATCAAATCCAGTATGTATCTCTGCTAGAGCTTCTCTGTAACTTTAGATAGATTATATTGATCAACTATGTAACCTGGTGCACCTTGTTCATAGTATCCTTATTTCAGCAGTCAGACAATATACTGTAAAGTGAATGGACTGTATTTTGTGGACATAAAGTATAGTGACTGTTATGTTGCTGAACACATCATCAAATTCATGCACAAGATTACGCTAAAGCTTTGCTTAAACAAATTCATGTAAATGACGTTAGCAGATGAACACTGGGTCAGGCATGCCATACCTAAGGACAGTCAAACAGCGTTACCCGCGAGGCTGCTTTGTTTTATATCTTTCAGCACAAATCCAAGGCAAGTGCGTACATACTGATTGCAGTTATTTGGTTGAACGATTTGAAAAGCAGCCACATATTTACTTCGCCCTATAACCAGAGCAGGAGCTATAGAATGGCATTGAGGAAATAAAGGGTTCAGTTTGGATTCGCGACTAATCTGATTTAAACTCAAAAGCAGTCGGACAAGTACCAGCACACAATAAGCTTGTTTATCAAGAGGGGAGAGGCCTTCAGCTCCCCTCTCGACTCTCTTCCTCCTCCTCGCTCCCTCCCTTCCCTCCCCTCACCCTGACCATTTCCCCGCTGCTCGGGTCATGACCCAACTGTGCAGCGCCGTGGGACGTCCTCCTGACGTGAAAGGCGCTTTATAAATGGAATGTTGTTGTTGTTGTTGTTATCATAGCGCAGTGGTTAGTGCGCTCGCCTCGAGAGTGATAGGACTCAGTCGTGGATTGAGTGGACAAATTGAAGGGGTTATTACCCCCTGAAAAGCGATCCACCAATCGACTAACAACCAGATTCCTACTTACTGCTGGGTAAACAGAGACGTGTGTGTGGAGTAAGGAAACTTGCCTAATGTTTCGCCCTGCCCGGGACTTGGAACCCAGGTCCTCTTGCTTGCGAGGCGAGTGCTCTAACCACTGAGCTGCAGGACATTAAACTGAAGTCCCGTCTGTCTGTTCGGGTGACATGAAAGAGCCAATTGCACTATTTGAAAAGAGAGTGTCCTGACCACCAAACCCCCAGGGAAGATTGGACATTTGCATTATGGCGATTTGCAGTGTGCCAAATTGTCAGCCGCATTCACTTACAAAATACAGTCGTTACACTTTACAGTGAATCCTTTGATTCAGTAACCAGTCCATCCACTAGCAATTACTTGCAAGCTTGATGGCCCACAAACACAAGATAAATTTACCTCGCAGTAAGTAGGAACCCAGTTGTTCGCTTCTCCAGGGGGCAATAATCCCTTCACAAAAAAAATACAATCTGTTTGTGGGATACTGCTGTGTGCAACTGGCTGCCTCGTTTCACCCACAAAATATAAAATCAATTCACTTTACAGTAAATTCTGTGAAGCGCTTTGAGACGTCTAGAAGACGTGATAAGACGCTATATCAAATGCGAGGGCTATTATTATAATAGATTATATAATGTCTTGCAGGAATCTTCACTTAAAGGCTGGTACTGCAAAATCACTTTATTGTCCAATAAAACTCTTATCTCTAAGACATTCAGTAAATGAAGTGCGTGCAAAACAGGCATGATTCAACAGAGAACAGAAAGGCTCAATAAAGTGGAACCACATAACAATACAAGCCTTCTGCACAATCACATCTAACGAGCATTACTTTCACCCAGATACAGAGCCCTTGAAGTAGGACGGACCCAGTGACAGAACGAGATCTAAACGTCTCACAGTCTTTGCCCTAAGACCTCAGGCTTTAACTTTAAGATCGAGAAGATATCTTAAATGGACAGGCAAAAGTCTGTATTTCAATGCATTTTGGAAGTTAGATTTCTACACTTCACAAAGATATCTGGCTTCCATTTTAAGAACAAATTCAAATTTTTCATCGAACAATCTTAACTTCTAACATGATAGAAACTTAAGAACATGTGGAATTTCAGACTTTGGAGGTTTACAGGTATGTTATGGCAGAACAGATGGCAGTGCTGGGGAGACAGGCAGGTGGGGGGTCTTAGAGCCACTAATAATTTGGTTATTAGAGGTTGGGCAGGTGACTTGGGAGGTTTTAAATGTGAACAAATGTGAACAAGAGCTAATCTCTCCTCACACAGCAGCATGGCACTGTGGCTCCTTCAGGGCTTTTTGGCTTCTCTTCAGCAGAGCCAACATTTGCTATAAACATCCAGTCCCTAACTGGCTCAGTAACAGGAGGAAAGAAACTCATTTGGAAATCGAATGAAGGCAGTCAGTCAGACAGCCTACACCCAGTAATTCCCAAAGTAACCAATGTGATACAGTTACCCTAATGTGGACTTGGTGACGCCTGACACCTGGACCTGAGAGGCCGAGGACACAAGAGGACGGAGAAGAATAGCAGACCTGAAATTCCACCCATCTTATCTTTTGAGACCATCAATTTTGGAAATATCTTAAATTCAGTCCTTTAGAAGCCGTTTCTTTCCTGCGGTTCTGTATCAAGAGAAGGCTTCCAAATTTAAAATTAAATTCAAGAATTTTCTCCCAAAATGGTCCAGAGCAGGTGGGGAGGGAGTCCAACTTTTTGGCTGCTGAGGACCAGATGCCCTATTTGAGAAATATTCTTGGGCCGCACAAGCTATATTTTTGTGCTTCCCTTCCAGAAACATAACATTTATGCAGGGAGCGGGCGGGCCAGATGAATGGAGCCTTCTTTACTGCAGTAAATAAGGCCTTTGGTCTAAGTCATTTTCTTTCACATACACAAGAAAAGGCGATGAGCAAATGAGCCATTTATGGTTGGCTGCACCACAACATGAATGATCTGAGCATTAAAGCAGTTTCCAACACTACCCAACAACAAAAAAAATCAAAGCAAAAAAAAACCTTTAGCGGGCTCAGGTAATTGTAACCTGGAATACTGCATATTAGTTTCCTCCCGGCCTGTAGTTAGCCCAATCTGAGTAGAAGGTTATTGCATCAATGAGAGGGAAACCCTCATTGTTCGAAATCACCCACAGTTACTCAACAATGGAAGCCAGTAAACCGTTTCCAGGCTACAAAAAACTAACGCAAAGTACGCGAAGCATTTTCTCAACATCGACCAGCGAAGCCAGAGAAAGTGATAGGTGGCAGGGACTGTCCACACTCAAAATTGGGCGGCTCAGTCACAATCCTTCTCACCGCTTGCTTGGCTGTCGGTTTGAGATGGAAGGAATATTTCTCCGTATTCTATTCACATTATTCCTGAACTTTTAAGGTATTGCACATCATTTGGTCAATTGAGAATGTCACGGCTACAGTCCCAGGCTTCAGGTTACAGCTAATCTTTCCCCTGGATTAAGGCTGGTGCTTCACATTCAAACATCAATTCCCAGAGAGCAGCCGAGACACTGAGCAACTCTTCGTTCCATCCCCTTCATTAAGCCTTGGGTTCTGCAAAAGAAAATGCAAAGACCAAGTTAGCAGGAAGCTTTAATACAGGACTCCACACTGGTACCAATATTGGTGGAAACCTGGGGTGCTGCAGCTGCTGGTGGGAAGACAACTCACCGGCCTCTCTCTGGATGATACGACAGTCATACCCAGAGCAGGACTCCAGCTTTATTAGCCGCTGGTTCATCTTCACCAGCAGTGAGGGGTTCACTGTCTTAGCGATATTCTTCAGCTGATGGGGGTCAGACGTCAAGTTATAGACTTCTACGAAGGTCTGGAAACACAGAGCAGAACAACACTTGAAATGGTTCAGACTTAAAACTGCAGAAAGCCTCCTTCTCAAGACTCAGCAGCGTTTCTACCTGATCTGCTAGAGGAGAGTGATTTTAGTTACTGATCAACAACAACACATGACATTTACACAGTGCCTCTCACATCAGGAGGACGTCCCAAGGTGCTGGACAGTCAGGGATGTGGACCCGGGCTGGGGATCAGGAGGGGTGGAGGCCTAGGAGGGTAGGGGTAGGAGGGTGACCAAAGGCGCGGTCGAAGACGAGCCTTGAAGGAGGCGAGGGAGGGAGCGAGGCGGAGGGGCATTGAAACATGGCATTTACCTCATTGTCTGCAAACTCGCAGTACTGCAGGTTAGTGCTAGAGAGTGTTCGCACACAAGCGTATGTGTTATTGAAGGAATCCTCACACACACAGTCAGGAAAGCATTCCTAGCAAAAGGAAAAGAAAGTTTTGAAGGACTTTGTTCATAATAATACTAACCATATATAATCCTTGTGTTTGCTGTAGTGCCTTTCACGTCAGGATGACGTCCCAAAGCTCTTCACAGGACTTACTGTGAAGTGGAGGGACTGTGTATTAGTGAGCCAAAGTGGCATTACTTACAGACATGCCAGGTCCCACATTAGGGCACTTAGGGTCCTTGTCTTCACTGCCTTCCCCAGTGTATTCAATCAGGAAGTCAGAACGCCAGCGAATTTTACCGTGCGATGAATTCTGAAGAACAGAAAACACCATTCAGCAATTTTCCACACCAGCTAAACGACATAGCTTGTCATCAAGAGCACTGTCTGGCAAGCTTCAGACTGCTCGTCCAGCTAGGACCACTCTAGACGTCACCTTGGTGCCAGTTCAGTTCCAAGAAGACCCCACTTGCACTAAGGGTACCATTACACCATATCACACACCTACCAAGAGAGGGAGGAATGAGGTGCCATCCATATTGGTTCCCAGTACATCATAGCCAGCGATATTCAGGAAGGTGGGAGCCAGGTCGATATTCAGTATAGGTGCCTGGAGATCAGAGAGCGCAACAATTAGCAACGCTGTGAATTCACACCTCGAAACACAGTTGACGTCTCATTCAAGATTCTGACCTGCTGAGTGTTCCCAGCGACTTGTGTTTTTATTACGTACCGTTATAGTCTGCTTCGGTTTGATGTTCGGCCCTCGTACGAGCAGGGGGACACGGATATCAAATTCATACAGTTGTCGCTTATCAATGGGGAGCGAGAACTGGCCTGTGGACAGAGGATTGCCAGCAGGGATGAGGAACAGAGGAGAACAGGAACAGGCCATTCAGCCAGTACCAGTTTAATCAGATGTTGGCAGATCTTTTTATCCCAATGCCCGTCCTTTCACCATTCCCCTTGACATCTCTGCCACCCAAATATCTCTTTCTCTCTCTCGTTTAAACATCCCCATCGAATCTACAGCATTCTGCACATGATGTCCCACATCCTCACATCTCTCCCTGAGTGAAGAAATGCTTCCTGATCCTATACAATCAATTATCTTATCAATGGTAACCTTTAATGGACAAACACTCCCAAGATTCAATGACCCTTCCACAATATCTATCACTGCGAATCATTCACCACACACCACGCTGGGAGTCTGCTCAAAGCAGAGAAGCAGAAGCAGACCCAAACACTGACCTGTGTGATAGCCGTGGTCAGAGGTATAGAAGATGTAGGTGTTATTCAGCTCCCCCACTTGCTGCAGTTTATTGATGACCTTCTCCACCAAATCATCCACAGACAGCAGTGTTCGCCACCTACAGGGATTAGAGAAGGTGGGAGTGTGAGAGACACAGGATCAGAGGTGTAATGGTTGTCTGTTATATGGTACCCGCTTGTTTGAGATCCTCACTGATACACACAGGTCACATCTCTCCACTACTTAACTGGGTGAAACAACAAGATTTTATTTGAAGCATAAAAAGGAGATAACCGCATATAATACTCACAACACAGTCACTACTCTTTACAATACATCCTGTGAAGCCCTTTGCGATGTTTTGAAGACGTAATAAGGCACTGTACTGAATACAAGGATTATTAATTGTTATGTTTTATAAAACTATATATGGATTGGCCTTCACGTACAGACGCTACACTTTGCAGGAAATCCTGGGAAGCGCTTTGAGCTAATTATCAGGTTTGAAACGCATTGCCACTCGTGGCTAATTAATGTGGCCGCACATTTAAACAAAGGAGCTTTGCGCGTTCCATTTACAAACAAACCACTTCGGGTTTTAATTCAACACAGAAAAGAAAAACAACTCATTTACAGATGGATTCTGATTTCAAAAGACAAAAGCTGTGTTACCTGTTTCTAAAGACATTGTCCAGGAATTGGATGGAAGTGTTCTTCATCGGGGTTTTAGCTTGCCGTAGCAGCCAGTGTTTATCCTGTAGTTAAAGACATTAAACCCTTATATTTAAATCTTAACCCAGACCAGAAAATAAATATGGAAAGGGAAAAAGCTGTTTATTTACCCCTGGAGGCATTTTAAAAGTTGAACACAAATTCTTAAACCTTTATATACAATAATAATCCTTGGTTTGAGATAGCGCTTTGTTATTGAGACATTTCAAAGCACATGAAAAAAGCCAACGTCCCACAAACGGCCGAGAAGTGAGTGAGCACTGGCCCTTCCCAACCACGAGAGGGAGCCTTTACACAAGAAATATCTGTGATTTACATCATACAAATGACTGTAATCGCATGACTTATTGTACCAGATCTGCCTGGCTTTGCCGTGTACACAATTGACACGTCCTTCCAATGTGAAAGGCACTGTATCAAATGGAAGGAGGTTTATTTTCTACCTTAAAAAGCGTTTCGCCCACAACAAGAATTTGGTCACTCAATCCACGGCTGTTTGTGGGACACCGCTGTGCGCAATTCACCTACAAAACATACAGTCACTACACTTTACAATCTATTCTGTGAAGCGCTTTGACACCTTGAGGGCATGATAAGGCGCTATATCAAATGGAAGGGTTATTATTATTGGGGTAGTGCTGGAGCCCTGTGGTGTAGTGGTCAGTGCACTCTCCTCACAAGCGAGAGGAACCGAACTAGTTCTTAATCTGGTTGTTAGCTTCCAGCGCACTCACCTTAGCGTGAAGATTGAAGCTGCCGTGACGAGGAGCTTTGGTCGTGCTGTAGGACTTGCTGTAATGTGGGGCCGCTGTCCAGGGAGAGTGGCAGGCTGGAGTGGACAACATCATGAAGAAAGGAGCAGAGCGACGCCGTGTTTCCAGGAAATCCACCGAACGGTTCGCCTGGAACAAGATTGATCTCATCCATCACAGCGACAAGCTGGTCCTTTACATGAAGAACAAAACTCAACAGACCTAACATCAGGGAAAGGGGACCTAAAATCACCCTCGTCCATCTTTGTACTCTCAGTACATGAGTAAAAAGAATTAACTTTACCAGAATGATACCAGCGATGAGGGACTTCAATTATGTGGAGAGACGAGACCAGAGGCTGGGATTGTTCTCCTTACAGCAGAGAAGGTTGAGGGGGGATGTAATAGCAGTATTCACAATTATCAGGGGTTTTGATAGATAAAATGGGGAGAAACAGTTTCCTTTGGAAGTCGGTAACCAGAGGACACAGATTCAAAATAATTGGCAAAAAAAGAGCAGAGATGAGGAGATGTTTTTTTTTAAAACCCACAGCATTGTTACGGTCTGGAATCCGCTCCCCGCCTCCTCCACAACTGAACAGAAACTCCAGCAATAAGATGACTCAAGACTTACTATGAGATCGGTCAAGTAGTCCTTTTCATAGGCATCTCCGTGGTTTTCCTGCTTCCCGTTCACAGACAGAGTGTAGTTATAATACCTGGAGTTTCCCACCTGAGGATGGAAGACGTCACTTCAGGTGTTTTGTACAGAAAACCATTGTTCATTGTGTTGGAGCTGAATGGTACCCATACGTCAGAAAGCAGACGTGTATCCCTCCCTCTAACGCCTTACCCGAAGGGCAGGGCCTCTGACAACACAGTGCACCCCTAACACTGCTTTTGAGCGTTAGTTACGTACAACAGATAAAACATCGCAGCCCTCTGCAAGGAGTCTCTCTCACACATGAGCAAGGCCAACAGCAGCATCTGTAAACCAGGCTTGTGCAGTCTGCTTGTCGTGTGTATCACCACAGCTAGTGAGCAATGGACATAACATAACACTCGGGATTGACAGTTAACTACAGGAAGTTCAATCCAAAGAAAGGTATTGGAAGAGGTTACAGAGACCCTGCATTGCACACGACAGGGTGTCTGACCCAAACGGAAACCCAGCACCGTGCTTCAGAGTGACCAAACCATCCATGTGTCTGACCTGCACCGACATATCAGCTTGACGAGACTGAGAACTATCAATAGGTCACTTACCAGTCCATGCCAATGATCCCAGCCCAGTGGGACATGGGCTGTGCCACCCACAGAGGGATGTCCGTACTGTCAGAGAGAAAAAGACTAAGATAAGCCACACAACCACTTAACCTTTCTGAATGTTACAGAGCAAAGACTTGGCGCCTGCATCAGCCAATTTATCATAGAGTCTTACACCACAGAAGGAGGCCATTCAGCCTATCGTGGCTGTGCTAGTTTTTTGAAAGAGCTATCCAACTAGTCCCACTCCCCCGCTCTTATCCCAACTAGTTCTACTCCCTGAAATGTCCTAGAAACAAACACCAGTCAGTTTCATCTGTTAGCCAGGACACCAGGAGAAACTCCCTTCTCTTTTCGAATTGTGCTGTGGGATCTTTAACATTCATCCAAACAGCAGACAGGCTCTTGGTTTAATGTCTTACCCAGAGGGTTAGACAGATACAACAGCACAGGAGTCTAATATGGACAAGGCCAACAGCAGTATCTGTAAACCGGGATTGTGCAATCTGCTTGCAGTGTTCATTGCCACAAACATCCGAATGGCCTTCTTTCTCTGTCCTTCACTGATGCTGTTATAGTTAGTGAGTGCAGCAGGACTTGGAATCAGCAACTTCCACTCCAGGATTCAATCAACAACCTCAGCACCAAATACACTTAACTGTGCTGAGGGTGAACGGCCACTACACCCACAGCAATGTTTGGGCAGAGGCACCGAGATACAGCAATGACGTGCCACACTCGTGTAGAGTATCGTGTTCACCTGGTCCTGGATATCCCAGTATCTCAACATTGCCTAACTCAGACTAACCTCCTTTCATATCAGGAGCCAAAGCATTATCCCAGAACTACGCAGTGTCAAAGAGTCACACTGTCATGGCACCATTTACGGCTCAACTATAAGGAGAAGTTGTGACTTGTTCCCTTTCGTCCTTTGGGTGAGAGGTTAAACTGAGGTTAAAAGATCCCATGGCGCTATTTGAATAGAGAAGGGAGTTTCTCTCTCTCCACCACACCCCCCCCTCCCCCCCCCCCCCCCGGTGTCTGGCCAACAATCCCCCAAATAAAATTGGTCGCTCACTCCATGGTTGTTTGTGGGATGTTGCTGTGCTCAACTGGCTGCTGCGTTTCACTTACAAAACACAGTTAAAAAAGGAAAAAAATCACTTTACAGTATGTTGTGTGAAGCGCTGTGAGATGTCTCGACGGAGTGATCAGGTGCTGTGTCAAATGCAAGGATTAATGTTATCCCCAAACTGGATCACAGCCTGAAAGCTCAGTAGTCTGTTGGCACCAGTTACCTTGTTGAGGTATTTGCCTGCGTAGAAGGTTTGGTATCCTCGCTTCTTAAGGTAGACGGAGAAAGCCTGAGGTTCCATCGCCCTCTGCCACTGCAAGCTGCTGCAGTTCCCAGTCACCGAGTTGTTACGCACCAGATGGTTGTGAGGATATTGTCCGGTTAGGATGCTACTGCGACTGGGACAGCACAGTGGGGTGGCTGTGAACTGCAAGAGAGAGAACACAGTCAGTGTTAAATGGGAAACAGGCACGGACATTGCAACCCAGAGCTCACACAAAGCACAGTGCCTCTACATTGCTAGCAGACCTCAGGGCAGTAAAGGATATAGTTTGGGACACGACATGTGCAAGCGACTGTCAAGACGGTGGAAGGTGAACTAGATGGACCTTGGTCTTCTTTTGTCTAACAAATTCTTATGTTCCCATGGAAGCACCAGTGACATGAGAGCAACTGTGTGTCGTGATCTGGGCCTTCAATCAGAAGTACATTCAATTTCCAGTCTGTTGCGCTTGCTGATTGAAGAACCTTTGCCTGATTATCTATGGATCTCAAGAGTCTCTCAGTAGGAACAATCTCATGACTCAAGCCACAACTTTGAGAGGCAAACAGTGGAGTGAGCAGCCAAGGCCTGAAACTGAATAAGGTGCCCAATTCTGATAAGATACTCACTGCATTGGTAAACGTAGCTCCTTCATTCCCAATTAATGCCTGAGTCTTCTTCATGGGAGTCTGAAAACACAGACACAGACAGGCAGACACTTTATTCTTTGCAACCGTAACAAGCACACACAAACCCATATTGAGCCAGAGCCCGCACACTCTTATATGACGGGTTGAGATAGATGTTTGAATTTTTTTAAAGATTTTTTTGTCACCTGGGTGTCCAGTTGCAGTCATCAGTCAATCTAATAATGTACATGCGTTATCAACAGTGCCCTGGAGTGATGTGGACTTTCCTGGCTAAGGAGACCTCAACAGAGGGTTGACTGAATTTGACATTCCATTGCCAACAGTCTATAATCCAGCACTAAAATCCTCACTCCAATTTCTAACCAGATGTTCGTTGAAGGAGTTAACATCCAAGGGCAGAATAAGTAGACACACAGAAATCTGAGCACAAGACCTTTAGAGTAACCTTGAACTATTTAGGTTTAGAAATAGACTTTAATTGTAACGGTAAACTGGAAGTTATCTTGCAGGTCGGGGAGACACAGCAAGTCTGGCAGCCCTCCACAGGCCCTGACCATGTGCCCCCGAGAATATAAACAGCCTCTTCAACCTCCACACAAACAACACAGGTCGCACGATACACTGTAAAGTGGAGTGACTGTATTTTGTGGGCAAAACGCAGCAGCCAATTTACACACAGCAGCGTCCGATAAACAGCCATGGAGCGAGTGACCATTTTATTTGGGGGATTGTCGGCCAGGACACCAAGAGAGAGACTCCTCTTTTCAAATGGTGCCACAGGAGATCTTTAACGACCACTTGAAATTACTATAGTAACATTGTGTTGCAAAACTGTGCCTCTGTCAGGTTCAGCTATCTTTAGGATAACCTGAATACAACAACAAATGGAGGTTGTAAACTATGTCACCGGCAGTCCAGGGTCAATGCCTTGAGTGACAGACAGGTTGAGGAGGGCTTTGTGGTAACTGGAGCTGAGGTTGTTGACCTGGAGCTCAAGTCATCACTAATTACCAGTTCCCTATAATAAGAACCTCCAACTACAAAGGAACCTGAAACCCTTTGAGCAGCAGCTCAAACAATCAATGCATTGACGGAGTCACACGTTTAAGCAGCACAAACTCACTCCGAGGTAACTGAGGAACTCAGAGGCAGGGAACGATTACAAAGCGAGTGAGGAATGGAGTGAGACATTTTATCAGTGGACAAAATGCCTCTTGTAAACAAATGGCTCACCTCCCCCAAGACCGATCACACACCCCTGAACATTTTACAGCTCGATCCTAGAACCAATATCAGGCCCAACTGCAGAAACAGTGCTAAGACCATCCATGTTCCTGTTGGATGCATCACCACAGCCACCAATGGAAACACTAAATTCTGGCAGAGACAAAATGGTTCCTCCACTGCCTGAGCCACTGCACCACCATCCCTGGGGGGGGGGGTACCTTTTGGCTGCTGAGGGCCGGATGCCCTATGCGACCTACAAGCCACCAGTTGGCCCACCCTGCCTTAACGTATTGCAGTTAGCAAAGCTACTGCTGGCTTGTCTGTTCTTTACTCAGCCAGAGAGGAGGCAGGACTCTGGAGAAAGTCAACGTGACTAGACCCCAGGCCTCCACTAACCAGATGTCAAGACTATAATCAACTTGGCTCATTTCCCCAAGGCTCCATCCTTCACATGGACTGGAACACTCCTGAGCCACACGGTGGGTCTCGGTGCTTTAACAATGCAAGATAGCAAGGAAAATCAGCAATATGATTCACAGTAGCGATGTGGTGAGGGAGTAGACCGTTGGAGATTTATTATGGAGTCCTGTAGCGTAGTGGCTAGAGCACTCGCCTCGCAAGCAAGAGGACCTGGGTTCAATCCCCAGACGGGGCGAGACGTTGGGCAAGTTTGCCTAATCCGCACGTCAGAAGCTTCATACAAAAAGAGGAACAGTGAGCTTGTTGTGACACATGCTGTCATGCTGAAGGCCACTTGCCATAAGGACACACGCACACACCACGAGAACGGAAATTAATCTTACAAACTGCTTACAAACTTTTCTCCAAACCACGCTGCAGTGCCCAATTGACTGCCATGTTTCACCCACAAAATGTACAGTCAATTCACTTTACAGCGTATCCTGTGATGCGGTTTGAGACGTCTCGAAGACGTGATAAGGCGCTATATCAAATGCAAGGATTGTTATTATTACAATTATAATGTAGAACATGATAAGCTGTTTTATCTTGTACTGAACAGTAGAACCAGATGACAGGGCCTGCGATTGAATGGGGGGGAATTCAGAAGAGATCTGCGGAAACACTATTTCATTGAGGGAGCTGGTAAATGTATTGAATGGGTTCCTAGGGTGACAGTGGAAGCCGAAAGCATTGATTCTTTCAAAAGCAAATGAAATAGATTTCTGTTTGGAAATGATATCTGGGGATACAGTGTATAGTTTGGGACATGACTTATAATAATATATAATAATAAATATTATTCCACCATTCTGGCAATCACTTGAGATGTCATGTCCCAAACTGTATACTGTATCCTGCGATATTATTTCCCAAAAGAACACTATCTGATTTGCTTTTGAAATGCAAATTCTTTCATGTGATTTATGATCTTGCGTAATAATAACATCGGGAGGACGCCTCACATGATTTTACTGCAAAGCGCGGTGAAAGTATTCCACAGGCCAACACATGATCAATCATTAGATCATTAATATGGTAACTCTGGCTATTAATATGGTAACCATTAATATCACCGTCACCATTATTATGGTAAGTTGGAACCCAGTTGTTAGTCAATTGGCGGATCGTTTTCTGGGAGTAATAATCCCACCAAAAAGAAAATTGGTCACTCAATCCACGGCTGTTTGTGGGGACGCTGCTATGTTTCACCCACAAAATGCACAGTCAATTCACTTTACAGTCTATTCTGTGAAGCGCTTTGAAACGTCTCAACGACGTGATAAGGCGTTATACCAAATGGAAGGTTTATTGTAACTCATCGCACAAGTTTCTCAAACTTTTTAACAATAAACTCACTTATAAGGAGGCAAAGTCTGAATAGGAACTACTGCACAGTACTCATTTTCTGTTGTTCTTCGATTTGCCGTACAGATCGGCTTTCATTCAAATGACACAGTCACCACACTTTTGAGACAGATCAACAACGTGACTACACAAATGCAAGGATTATTATAATTATTATCACTCACTCTGGTTCTTCAGCAATTCTCCCTTTAGCATTTCCCTGATTGTTCCTCTCTCCCCATTCCCTCCCCACTCCCCTCCCCAGCCCCCTATCTCCTGCCCCCAGTATAAGTCAGTATTATACTCACCATCCCTCCCAGCTGCAAGTCCTGGTCATCAGTCAGGATCAGAAGGATGTTCTTGAGGGCACACAGATGCTGTCCCGCCTGACAGCACAGCAGTAACAAGGTTACCAGAGGCGATTTCATTTTGTCCCTCAGCTTAAGAGTCAGTCAACTAACTCCACCGTTCGTAAGGTGGGACAGGACCGGGTGAGGCAGGTGAGGGATGGGTAGGGAAGAGCCAGGTGTTTGCTGGAGGTGGTGAGCAGCTGGTGCCCACTGCCTGCTCTTCAATCCGCTTNCCCCCCCCACCACGCACACACTTTGAACCTAACTCTCCTAAACTCTCTCTTAACTTTCGGACTCTCTGCCCCAGGAAGCGGTGTGCGCTCACATTTTTCAACCAGGCAATTGGAAGGTAGTGCAACAGACACATCACTGGCCCAATGAACACTCTCTACATTGGCTCTCTGTCTTGTAGCCTTGTTCAGAATTGGCCAATAGTGTTTAACTTGGAAGGGATTTAAATCCATCCCCCTGTGATCTTATTACCCCGCACTGAAGTGCCAGGTTTCAGGACTCTCTCATACGTAAGGATTTTTAAAAAATATTATCATCTTACAAAAGACAAGACCGTAATAATAATAATAACCCTTGCATTTGATATAGCTCCTTGTATACAAAAAATAGTAATAATTTGGTCACTCAGTCCACGGCTGTTTGTGGGGACGCTGCTGTGCGCAATTGGCTGCCGTGTTTCGCCCACAAAATACACAGTCACTACGCTTTACAGCATATTCTGTGAAGCGCTTTGAGACGTCTCAAAGGCGGGATAAGGCGCTACATCAAATGCAAGGATTATTATTATTATTACTGATGTCTTTTAAGGAGCAATCCTGTCACAGTCCCAGTTACCTGCCCTTTCCGGGGGTGAGAGTCGATTGGCTGATCGTTTTTCCGGGGGTAACAATCCCTTCACGGAACTAAATCATTCCTTTTGCGGGGACGCTGCTGCGCGCAGGTGGCTGCTGCGTGTCACCCACACAGTACACAGTCACTACACCCTGGAGCGTGTTCTGCGAAGCGCTTTGAGAAGCCGCGATAAGGCGCTGAGGCTAATAATAATAATAATAATAATAATAATAATAATAATCTTTGCATTTGATATAGAGCTTTTCACGTCGGCAGGACGTCCCAGGGTTATTATTGATGTATTTTATTATGTAACTGCGGACCCGCTGCCCTTCACAGGAAGTCGTGCCAAGCGACTCGCGGCAACTGTCGTCGGGACTCCACCGTCATTATCATTATTATTGTCATTCGGAGTCCTGTAGCTCAGTGGTTAGAGCACTCGCTTTGCGAGTGAGAGACCTGAGTTCAATTCCAGGCAGAGGGCGAAACCTCGGGCAAGTTTCCTTACTCCACACAGAGCCTAATAATAATCCTCCAAAACCAAAAACAATAATAAATTGGTCATCTTCAATCTACGACTGTTTGTGGGACATTGCTGTGCGCAATTGGCCGCCGCGTTCACCCACAAATATACAGTCACTTCACTTTACAGTGTGTTCTGTGAAGCGCTTTGGGACGTCCTCCTGACGTGAAAAGCGCTATATCAAATGCAAGGATTATTATTATTATTATTATTATTACGATAACGACGGCCGATCGCGTCTTCGTGACGTCTCAAAGGAGGGGGTCGCGGCCACTCCGCAGGGAGGGCTCTGTGGGAGAAGCTGATGTTGTTGTTGTTGTTGTTGTTGCTGATGGCTGAGGAGGTATTGACCGCCCCCCGGGGGTGGGGGGTAGGGGGTGGGGGGGGTCTCGGGGTGTGGGGGTCTGAGGGCGTCTCTGGGCTTTAAGCCTCGTATCTGCCGGAGAGGCGCTGCTGTCCACAGCGGAAGAGGTTGACCCGCGGGTCCGCCTCTCGGTGCCTGTTTTCCGGACAGTCGAGGCTGCGGGACCCGGTACCCACCCACCGACCCACCGACCCACCCACCGGCTCGGGATGGCCGAGCGGCCCCGCAACAAGAGGCACAAAGCCGCCTGTGCTGGAGCTGTGCCCCCCCCTCCCCCCCCCTCCCCCCCCCGGGCCGCCATGTACCTGGTGGAGAGGAGAATGGGGAAGAGCAGGAGAGCGCTCCTCACACAGTTGGCCAGAAACAAGGGCTTCAGGGTGGACACTGAGCTCAGGTGAGAGAGAGGGGGTCCCCCCCCCTCCCTGCCCTGCCCTCCCTGCCCCCCTGCCCTCCCTGCCCCCCTGCCCTGCCCCCCTGCCCTCCCTGCCCTGCCCCCCCTGCCCTGCCCTCCCTGCCCCCCTGCCCTGCCCCCCTGCCCTCCCTGCCCTGCCCCCCTGCCCTGCCCTGCCTGCCCTGCCCCCCCTGCCCCCCTGCCCTGCCCTCCCTGCCCCCCTGCCCTCCCTGCCCTGCCCCCCCTGCCCTGCCCTGCCCTGCCCCCCTGCCCTGCCCTCCCTGCCCCCCCCCCCGTGCCTACCCTGCCCTCCCTGCCCTGCCCTCCCTGCCCTGCCCTCCCTGCCCCCCCGCCTTGCCCGCCCCGCGCCCCCCCCCGCCCTCCCTGCCCTGCCCTCCTGGGTCACTTCTAATAATCATCTAATAATAATCCCTGCACTGAGCACAGCGCCTTATGTCCTTGAGGCGTCTCAGAGGCGTCTGACATAAAAGCAGAGCGACTGTATACACTGTGGGCGAAACGCGCACAGCAGCGTCCCACGGACAGTCGTGGACTCGCTTCTTTCCCCCTTCCCCCCCCCCGAGGCGTTGTTACCCCCGGAAAGGCGATCCATCCGCCCGTCGACTAGTGACCGGGCTCCTGCTCACTGCCGGGTAAACACAGGCGCATAAGGAAACCAGCGCAGTGGTTGGCCCCCACCTGGGAATCGAACCCGGAGCTGCAGGACACCACATGTAAAAAGCACAGTATCAAAGGCGAAGGATTATTATTATTACATTAACAAAACCTTGAAGTAAGATGACGTTTATCTCTTCTTTCCCCCACTCCGCCCCTCCCTCCCCCCCCCCCCCCACAGCGAATCAGTTACCCACATTGTGTCTGAGAATAATTCTGGGGATGAGGTGTTGGCGTTCGTGGAGAAACAGAGCACGGTTAGTGGAGAGAGATTGTCAGCGGCCGCTCTGGTGGACATCACATGGTTCACGGACAGTATGGGAGCCGGGAGGCTCTTGGAGATTGAAACCCGCCATCGACTTCAGGTACTCGGTCACCTCCTCCCTCCCTCTGCCCTTTCCAACAGAGCTACAGGGTCTTTAACATCCTCCTGAACCTGGAGATGGGAACTCGGTTTTATGTCTCACCTCCCGACAATGCAACAACCCCCCCCCAGCGCTACAGCGGAGTCAGCTTAGACTATGTGATTCCAAGGCCTGACATGGGGGGGGTCTGAACCCACAACCCCTGAGTCAGGCTGACACACATTCAATTACATTCCCGTGTCTGTGCAGATGGGCCGCTGCTCTCAAAAGCTGGCGGTTCAGTGCTAATTGACAGGATCTTTTAGTGAGAAAGCCGATTGCAGGTTGTCTAAAGCACTGTGCGTTACCATTGCTGTCGCGTTTGCTCTTTAGGTGAAGAGTGTCTTCAGCGCTGGTGCCAGTTCAGCTGCCATCCCCACCTACGCCTGTCAACGGAGAACCACACTGAACAATCACAACAAAGTGCTCACGGTAATGGTCCTGTCTTTGGTCTCCTCTCCCAGGGTGAAGGAGGTTTGTCGTTCTCCTTCAGGAGGGATTAACCCCTCATTCTCTTCCCTGCTGTCAGGTGGTTTCATAACCATAGGACTTATCTCATCAATCTAATAATAATAATTCTTGCATTTGATGTAGCTCCTTATTACAAAAGCGCTTCACAGAGTACACCGTAAAGTGATTTGATTGTATATTTTGTGGGTGAAACACGGCAGCCAATTATGCACAGCAGTGTCCCTACAAACAGTCATGGATTGAGTGACCAAATTATTAATTCATTTAGTTGTTTAATTATTTATTTTGAAGGGATTATTACCCATGGAAAAGCGATCCGCCAATCGACTAATAACCTGGTTCCTCGTGACTGCTGGGGAAACAGAGGCGTGTGTGTGGAGTAAAGGAAACTTGCCTAATTTTTCGCCTTGACCTGGAAATCAAACCCAGGTCCTCCCACATGCGAGGCGAGTGCTCCAACCGCTGAGCTATAGGACTCCACAGCTGACAGCAGAGAAATACTGAACAATTGGGGTACATTAAGGAAAACTCCTGTTTAAAGTGACCCTCTTCACGATTTTGTACAGGACGCGTTGAAGATATTGGCAGAAAATGCAGAGTATTATGAGAGCGTCGGTCGGTATCTGGCCTTCACCAGGGTCAGCTCCATCCTGAAGTCTCTGCCTTACGCTGTGACCAGCGTGGACAGTCTGCGTGGGTTCCCTGGCCTGGGAGAACACTGCAGGAAGGTCATTGAGGTAATGAATGCAAGCACATGTTGTTCCGCCCTGCCTGGGAATCGAACCCAGGTCCTCTCACGTGCGGGCAGCAAGGCCATAAGTAAACAAGTAAGTTGCTAAGTAATAAGAAGCTGCTTCCTCTGGCGAGTGGGTCACAGGTTTAAGATAATCGGCAGAAGAACCGGCGGTGGAGCTGAGGGGATGAGGGACAAGTAGCAGGCCAGAGCCAGCCGAGCAGGGGCAGTGGGTGGTGGGTTGGGGAGTAATGAGGTGGGAGAGGTAAGGAGGTGAAGGATCTGGTACAAAGTTATTCACTCCCATTTTCTCTGCCCAGGAAATCCTCGAAGACGGAGTTTGCCAGGAAGTTGAGAGTGTGACACAGAGCCAGCGATACCAAACTCTAACGGTACGTGACACCACGTTGGCGCCAGGGGTGTGCGTTGGCGTCAGGCGAACTCTTAACAATACGCGGTCTTTCCCTCTGTTCTTGTAGCTCTTCACCAGCATCTTTGGGGTTGGAGTGAAAACGGCCGAGAAGTGGTACAAGGAACAGCATCAAACACTGGCTGATCTCAGAGCATCACAAATCAGATTTACTAAAGAGCAGCAAGTAGGTAAGAGTGCAAGGAGGCAGGTTAGGATATCTTAGCACTCTGTGACAGCGATGGGGAGGAGCGGTGTTGCATTGTCGGAGACGTCATCCTTCGGATGAGATGTTAAACCTCACTCCCCGTCCGTGCTCTGTTCAGGTGGTCGTTAAAGATCTCCCGAAAGGAGTTTCTCTCTCACCCGGTGTCCTGGCCAACAATCCCCTCAATAAAATTGGTCACTCACTCCACGGCTGTTTGTGGGACAGTGCTGTGTGCAAACTGGTGGTTTGTCCACAAAAATACACAGTCACTACACGTTGCAGTGTATTCCTGTGAAGCGCTTTGGGATGTCCTGATGTGAAAGGCGCTGTGCAAAATGCAAGGATTATTATTATTATACAGTTAATTCACTTTACGGTGTATCCTGTGAAGCGCTTTGAGACGTCTCGAAGACGTGATGAGGCGCTTTATCAAATGCAAGAATTGTTATATTATATATTATTATTTGGGCTCAGAGGCAAAAGCCTGAAAGATCACAGGATCACAAGTGCGGTTGGAAATTTGATCCTCAGTCTGGGCTGGTTAGTTGATATCAGGGACTTCATCAAGCAGAAAGGCCACAGTTAACCTCAGCACTGTTAGTCCCTTTACCCTGTTTGCTAACCTCACCTATTTCCCTAGGGTTACAGTATTATGAAGACCTCACAACACCAGTAACGAGAGCAGAGGCCGATATGATCAGAAAGACTGTAGAGGAAGCCGTGTATAGATATTTACCCGGTGCTGTTATCACCTTAGCAGGTGGCTTTAGAAGGTAAGACAATGTAACTTCAACAACAACTTGCATTTACACAGCGCCCTTCACCGGGCAGCGTCTCGGAGCGCTTGACAGTGGCCTGGGGAGAAAGCAGGTCAGAGAGGTAGAGAGGTGCCAGAGGGTGCAGGGATGTGTAGAAGAGAATCATTCATCATATTAGCAAAGAGGAAGCACTGGAGCGTGGTCTGACTGAAATAGGGTGTATATACACACAGACACACACACACACACACACACACACAGTGCTGCATGTGGCCAGTTATTTCCACATTCATGCGTGGCCCTGAGCAATGCTGCAACAGACATCCTTCGAGCTATAACTGGGGCACTCAGTCGTGTTGTTGTGGAGGCTGTAAATCAGTCTCATCAACACACGGTTTGTTTTTGCCAACCACACATTCTGAATCGAGTCGCCCAGATATATAGTCGCAGATTGTCTCCATCCTGTAGTTTAACGGTTGGAGCCCTCGCCTCGCCAGTGAGAGGACCTGGGTTCGATTCCCGGGCAGGGCGAAACATTAGGCAAGTTTCCTTACTCCACACACACGCCTCTGTTTCCCCAGCAGTAAGTACTAACCTGGTTGTTAGTTGATTGGCAGATCGCTTTCTAGCGGGTAATAATCCCTTCACAATATGAATAAATAAACAAATTATTTGGTTACTAAGTCCACGACTGAAGGTCCATCTCAAGACCTACTCTTTGACCAGGCTTTTGGTCACCTTTCCCTCCCCCCCACCCCACCCCAAGCTCGATCTGAAAGGTGCTTTTATCAATGTCAATTGTTTGATATTCTGCTCTGCAGAGGGAAGGAAACCGGCCATGATGTGGATTTCCTAATAACTCACCCAGAGGAAGGCAAGGAAAAGGGTCTGGTTACCAAAGTGATTCAGCACATGGCCAGCCAGGTAGGCCTCAGACATTCAGACACAACCCATCATCAAGCTATCATGTCCTGTAGCTCAGTGGTTAGAGCACTCGCTTCGCAAGTGAGAAGACCTGGGTTCAATTCCCGTCAGAGTGCAACCTCAGGCAAGTTTCCTTACTGCACACACACACCCCTGTTTACCAGCAGTCAGTAGGAACCCGGGTGTTAGGCGATTGGGGGATCGCTTTCCAGGGGTAATAATCCCTCCAAATAATAATTTGGTCACTCAATCCACGGCTGTTTGTGGGGACGCTGCTGTGAGCAATTGGCTGCCGCGTTTCGCCCACAAAATATACAGTCGATTAACTTTACAGTGTATCCTGTGAAGTAGCTTAAAGTCACAGTTTTACGTTCTGTTTCTCTCAGGGCCTGATGCTGTACAGTGACGAGATTGGGAACAGTTACCAGAAGTGCAGGAAGCAGGAAACCAGCAAGTTCGATCACTTTGAGAGATGTTTCACCATCGTGAAGCTGAACCAGGAGCCGGTGAACGCTGCTGTGTCTGGCAATGACTCCCGAGAGGGAGGGCAGGGTGCTGGGGGCCAGGGTGCTGGGGGCCAGGGTGCTGGCCACAGGCCTGAGGACAAACACTGGAAAGCTGTGCGAGTGGATCTGGTCATCGTTCCTATCAGCCAGTTCGCCTACGCATTGTTGGGATGGACCGGCTCCCAGGTCAGTGTGGGATGGATGGGGACAGCACAGCACTGAGGCAGAGATGCTTCTCTCTCTCTCTCTCTCTCTCTGTAAGATTCTGCTTGAGCTGTGAGTAACCCAGTCTCTCAGGAATTATATTGATAACAGTACTGTACTTGCATTTGATATCGCGTCATTGAGACGTCTCAAAGCGCTTCACAGAATACATTGTAAAGTGTAGCGACTGTATATTTTGTGGGTGAAACACGGCAGCCAATTGTGCACAGCAGCGTCCCCACAAATGGTCGTGGATTGAGTGACCACATCTTTTTTATTACGCCCAGAAAATGATCCGCCAATCGACTAACAACTGGGTTCCCACTTACTGCTCGGTAAGCAGAGGCGTGTGTGTGGAGTAAGGAAACTTGCTCCACGTTTCGTTTTGCCCGGGAATCGAAATCCAGATCCACTCGCCTGCGAGGCGAGCTCTCTAACTACTGAGCTGCAGAACTCCATCCCTGTGAAACACTCCGATTACTCTGTTACTAAGCTGTAAATGAAAGTTGTTTTAATCATACAATGATCATCGTAGAATAAACTGCTCTCGACTCTGATTTTGTTCCAATCACTCTCTGATTTCTCCCCCTTTAGCTCTTTGAACGAGAACTCCGCAGATACGCAAAGAACTGCAAGCACATGATTCTGACCAGCCACGCCTTGTACCACCCCCAGCAGGTAACAACTTGCATTTTCACAGCGCCCCTCACGCAGAGCAGCGTCCCAGAGAGAATATTATTATTATTACTATTACTATTAAGCCTTTAATTAAAAAAATCAGAAGATGTTGTGTAATTTTCCTCACTTACATTCTCAGAATGAATACTTCTCCGCTGCTGCAGAAGAAGAGATCTTTGCTCACCTTGAACTGGACTATATTGCACCTTGGGAAAGGAATGCTTGATACACTATGGCCAGACAGACAGACAGACAGACGCACTGTCAATTGCTGGACACAGTGGCCCCTGTGGTAAGAGTGTCCATACACTGACTGTGCCTGGCTCTGTGTCTGGCTTTGCACTGTGACCAGTGAGCTGTACGTTGACGAAATTTGTTCAGCGTCTGAGGTTGTGGGAGACAACGCAAACGAGAGGACCCGGCTTCGAGGGTGAAACCTTAGGCAAGTTTCCTTATTCCACGCACACGCCTCTGTTTACCAGCTGTAAGTAGGAACTCGGTTGTTAGTCAATTAGTGGGTCGCTTTCCGAGGATAATAATCGCTTCAAAAATAAATAAATGAATAAATAAATAAAATAATCATTTGGTCACTCAATCTACGACTGTTTATGGGACACTGCTGTGCGCAATTGGCTGCCGTGTTTCTCCCACAAAATACACAGTCACTACATTTTACAGTATATTCTGTGAAGCGCTTTGAGACGTCCTTCCGACCTGATAAGGCGCTGTATCAAATGCCAGGATTATTATTATATTCTGTGTCGGGATTGTTGAAGGGTGAAGTGAGGTGTTTTGAGTTCCGGGGAAGTTGGATTTAATCATTTCATTGAAGGTTGCCATGTGACATAGATATTTGGGATCTGCTGCTAGGATTTGTGTGGATCAAAGCTGGAGGCTGACTGCTCCGCCGGAGACACTGACTGCCTGTCCGCCATCTCACTGATCCTGCTCCACAGGGAAGAGAGCACCCGCCAATCGATCTCCCAGTGAAAACCCTTTCAGTCTGAGTCCTCCTTCCTGAACATCTGTACAGCCAGCAGTCGGCCTGTGGGCAGCCCAGATCAGGGTGACAGCCATTTAGCTGCAGAGAGAGCGAATGCTCACACAGTATAGCAATGCCCAGAATGCTGATGGTAAGTATAAATTCCTGGGCACGATCAAACGAGAAGGGTTCAAACACGGTTCAATGTTAGTGGCTGTTGTGGAGTCCTGTGGCTCAGTGGTTAGAGCGCTCGCCTCGCAAGCGAGAGGACCCAGGTTTGATTCCCGTGTCAGGGCGAAACCTTAGGCAAGTTTCCTTACTCCACACACACACACACACGCCTCTGTTTACCTGGCAGTAAGTAGGAACCCAGGTGTTAGTCGATTGGCGGATCACTTTTCCGGGGGTAACAATCCCTCCAACTACAAAAACAACTTGCATTTGAATAGCGCCCTTCACGCAGGATAGAGTCCCGGAGCGCTTGACTATGGTAGAGTCTGACTCCAGAAAAATAATAATATAATTTGTTTACTCAATCCACAACCGTTCGTGGGACACTCACTGCTGTGCGCTATTGGCTGCCACATTTCACCCACAAAATATTTACAGTCAACTCACTTTACAGTATATTCCGTGAAGCTCTTTGAGACGTCTCAACTACGTGATAAGGCGGTATATCAAACGCAAAGATTATTATTATCTTGTTTGGTCTGCAGGATTTAGCCGCTATTCTGTGGGGCACTGGACTGCGTCTGGAAGGCAGCTCGAGCTACTGGGGAGAGGAAACAGTGAAACAATCATAGAATAGCTTTCACAGCCAAGAGAAAGTAGGTGAAAGCAAATCATGTTTTAATGTAGCTCTGTGCATATTAATATTGGATGTGCTCCTCTCTTCAACCTCTTCCTCGTTAGAATATTTATGATCAATTTTATTTTACTTTGTTTATTTTGAGCTGAGTACAATGGAGTTACAGCACTCGCCTCGCAAGCGAGAGGACCTGGGTTTGATTCCTGGGCGGGGTGAAACATTGGGTAAGTTTCCTTACTCCACACACACGCCTCTGTTTACCAGCAGCAAGTAGGAACCCGGATGTTAGTCGATTGGCGGATTGCTTTTCTGAGCTTAATAATCCCTCTTAAAAAAATATAATAATTTGGTCACTCAACCCACGACTGTTTGTGGCACACTGCTGTGCACAATTAATTGGCTGTTGCGTTTCGCCCACAAAATATACAGACAATTCACTTGACGGTATATCACATGAAGACCTTTGAGACATCTCAAAGACATGATAAGGCGCTATATAAAATACAAGGATTATTATTATTAAAGATTATATATATGTTTGAAGAGGGAGTATGGAGGGACTCGACGGTTTCTATTCTTGAACAGAAGAAGGTGCTGGAACTCCCGAGGCTGAGGGAGCGGAGATTAGAAGCTTAAAATAGACGTACAAATCTCCTGAGATTGAGCGAAGGGAGAAAAGCGACACATTGCACTGAATCCTGCACTGTAGGGATCTGCTGAGCACTTGGATATAACTTGGGGATATTCACGCCTTCAGCCTTTGTACAATCCCCAGCACTCTGCTCAGTGGGTAACACTCTCGCCTCGAGGTCGGAAGGTTATGGGTTCAAGCTCCACTTGTCTGCCAACTGACCTACATACCGGGATCAGGAAGAGGACACAGCCCACATGTGTGCAGATTAAAGGCAGCCTGATTGCTAGTGGTGCGAGCACCAGCGTCAAGCTTCGAGACGCTCAGTAACACAGGCTGTCAGTGTGGTGTCTAATGGGTCCATGAGTCGTAGAGCATTAGGAGCCGCTGACTGCCTACTGGGGCATTGTACTGTACCGTCCTTCTGATGAGACGTTAAACCTCATTCCCCGTCTGACTGTTCAAGTGGATATTAAAGATCTCCCGTGGCGCTATTCGAAAAAAGAAGGGAATTTCTCTCTCTCTCCCCCTCTCTCTCTCACACAGTGTCCTGGCGAACAATCCCCCAAATAAAATTGGTCATTCATTTCATGGCTGTTTGTGGGACTTTGCTGTGCGCAACTTGACTGCCACGGTTGCCTACAAATACACAGTCACTACACGTCACACTGAATCCTGTGAAGCGCTTTGAGATGTCTTTCCGACGTGATAAGGCGCTGTATTCAAATGCAAGGATTATTATTATCACTATTATATTACCACACGCCTGCTGAGAGGGGGCGGGCGGGGAGAGAGCAGCTCAGCTTCGGAAGCAGATCACAACCAACGTTTAAAGAGCTCATCATTAATTCAAGCTCTCGTGCTGTGAATTGCACAGCACCAAAGGGAGAGTGAAGCAGAGGTTACAGACCGGGCATCACTCGTGCCACATTCGCACTGCATTGCACTATAACAACCAGCCTGTCACACAGTCACCATATAACACCTTCCTTCCTCCTGTCTTTTCTACTGAGCTTTGGGTAACTTACGTGATCCCAATGCTGCCTTCGTCAGAAACACAAGTGGCATGAAAATATGGATATGCAACGTTCACTCACAGGGAATCACTTATTCTCTCCAGGGGCATTAATCATTGCTCACCAACAGCGCTGTGGCTTCTCATGAGAACACTTCCTGGGCAGGACGCAACCTTAGGCCAGTTTCCTTACTCCACCCATACACCTCTGGTCACCTTGCAGTAAGTAGGAACCTGCTTATTAGTGGATTGCTTTCCATGGGGGTAATAATTGCTTAGAAAAACACAATAATAATTTGATCACTCAATCCATGACTGTGTGACACTGCTGTGCACAATGAGCTGCCGAAAGTATTGCACGGTGGAGTTTGGGGACAGTGTATCTGGCGGTGCTGGTATAGAGTTAGAGCAGTGGTTGAGCAGCAGAGAGGATGTGAGCTGAGATCGTGGTTGGGTTAATGCCAGTAACACTCCCTGAGATCAGGAAGCCACCAATCACCTCAAGAAGGACGTAAAGATAAAGATTCAACAGAAATCTTTGTTGCGCCCATCACACATCTTAAGTAGTGTTGATTGCCAGAAATACAGGCCAACATCTAACCACTGGGTTTCAAACACCGAGTCAGACACTCACACCACTGAGTCACAAACTTGTTGGTTCACGTCTCACGTCAGGGCTTTTGGATCGCAGCTCCTGTCCGGCTGTTCAGATGGACGTTAAAGACCCCGCAGAGCTATTCGAACAGAAAAGGAGTTTCTTTATCTCTCTCTCTGTCTTTCTCCTGGCCGGCCAACAATCCAGATAAAAGCAGTCATTCACACTGTGATGTGTGCAAATTGGCTGCCGCATTTATAATAATCTTTGCATTCGATACAGCGCCTTATCATGTCTTTGAGACGTCTCAAACCGCTTCGCAGAATACACCGCAAAGTGAAGGTGGCTGTACGTGTTGTGGGTGAAATGTACCTACAAACGCACAGTCACTACACTCCTCAGAGTTAAGATGCTGTGGGGCCTGGCATTAAGAGCGAACATGCAGCAGCCCTGACTATATAAGGTGCTGTTTCTCACTAACCAGCCAAGTGTGGGCGAGTTAATGAGAAGAGCATTGTGTTGGTGTATGAAACTCTGAGAGCAAGTGCTATACACTGCTGCCAGCACTCGCTGTGCAAATACTGTGCTCTATCAGTTGGAACCTAGAGAGAGGGTTCAGTTTCAATTTAATTTGGGGCATTTCAGCCCGGAGCTGTTTAGCAGCACTAGTGGACCCTTCGGAGCGAAATAAAAGCACTCCAATCCTTGCTCAGTGTCTGCACGGCAGCTCAAGGGAATATGTTTAATATTGCTTCCCTCTCTGACAGGCGGCTGATAAGCAGTGAGCTTATTACACGAGGGATTTCCCAGGTTGGGATCAGATCCAGAGGAGATAAAACGGGGAGAAATAGTAATAATAATCCTTGCGTCTGATACAGCGCCTCATCACCTCTTCGAGACGTCTCAAGGCGCTTCACAGGATACACCGTATTGACTATCTTGTGGGTGAAACGCAGCAGCCAATTGCGCACAGCAACGTCCCACAAATTGTTCATTATTATTAATTATTAATATTTTGGGAGGGGGGGGGCGGAGGGATTATTAACCCCGGAAAAGTGATCCACCAATTGACTAACAACCGGGTTCTTACTTACTGCTGGTAAACAGAGGCGCGCGTGTGTGTAGAGGAAGGAAAGTTGCCTAACGTGTTGCACTGCCCGGGAATTGAATCCAACCATGTCCTCTCGCTTTCGAGGCGAGCTCGCTAACCACTATCCTACAGGACTCTCTCCAAGGGACGCGGGACAGCCACATAGTGACTGCTTTCCACTAGCTGGAAACGTCTAACCTGCTGCTACTTTCCCGTCGCTGCGAGCATCGCTGAGAGGCTCGACCTCCAGCGAGAAAGGGTCAGAGTATTCAGCGCAAACTCTACATTTCAATTCCATTGTCATAATATTGTGACCTATTCCCACCGACGCGTTTCACATTTCACCGTGTCTAACTGTTAGGAACGTACGGCTTCATTCATTTCCCCTGTCGTTCAGTGGCAATTGTCGCAGGCTCCAGCAGTAAATGAGAGTGGGAGATGGAGTAAACCCCAGTGTGGTATGGCCTGAGACTATAGACTAATTGCCTGCCAAGCTGGGGAACCTGACACACTATAAAATTGGCAAAGGGATCTCGGAGCGAGGCAGAGGGCAGATAATTCCAATATGTGCTGATTGGCATTACTTGTGTCCTGCCAGGAGAGAAAGGAAGGCACTCTAACTCTCCATTTCAACCCATTATAAACCTGCCATCAAACCCCTGTGTCACATCGTCAAAACATCTCAAAGCACTTCACAGTATTTACTCCAAAGTGTTAGGAACTCGGTTGTGAGTTGATTGGCGGATTGCACTTCCGGGGGTAATAATCCCTTCAATAATAATAATTCGGTCACTCAATGCGCGGGGACGCTGCTGTGCGCAATTGGCTGCCACGTTTTGCCCACAAAATATTCAGTCAATCCACTTTACAGTGTATTCTGTGAGGCGCTTTGAGACGTCTCAACGATGTGATAAGGTGCTGTGTCAAATACAGGGATTATTATTATTAACAGGCAATCTGAAGAGAACAGCCAGCTACTGATAACCCTTCGAAGGTGGTTGGGTGGACGTGCCAAGTTACATACGTCAACTGCTGTTAAATACATCCTTGATTTCTCACCATGAGGTAATGTTACCGTCTAGACCCCAGTCGGTAAATGAACAATCTGCAGATTGCTTCGAGCATTGTTGAGACTGGAGATAATAACGCTAGAGAACACAATTCACAGAAAATAGCTCTTGTTATTAGACAACAAACCAACGCAAAGGTTTTTGTTGAAATGAAATGAGAACATGGCTTTTAAACAAATTAAATCGTAATGGATCTAGAACAGGGAATTTCACAAGTTGCATGCGACAAGCATTAAAGTCCGCCATTAAACATTTAAATAATAATAATCCTTGTATTTGATATAGCAACTTATCACCTCTTCGAGACGTCTCAAAGAGCTTCACAGAATATACTCTAAAGTGGATTGACTGCATATTTTGTGGGCGAAACCCGGCAGCCAATTGTGTACAGCAGCGTCCCCACAAACAGTCGTGGATTGAGTGACCATTTTTTTTGGAGGGTTTATTACCCTGGAAAGCGATCTGCTAATCGACTAGCAATTGGTTTCAGACTTACTGCGAGGTAAACAGAGACGTGTGTGTGGAGTAAGGGAACTTGCCTAAGCTTTTGCCCCGCCCGGGAATCTAACCCGGGTCCTCTCGCTTGTGAGGCAAGGGCTGTAACCACTGGGCTCCAGG